ATGTATTGTACTTAGCACTGTATGTGTGGGCCACTGGCTGGAAAGGTCACATGGCTTATATGAAATCTGTGTTCCTCTTGATACACACGTTGGCGTAAGAGATTCACCTTTATAAGGACCTCTAAAAGGTAGCATTCAAAATTGTGAAAGGGCAGAAAAATGTCTGAGAAAAATAGAATCTAAGATTGGGATTTATCCAAGTAATTCTTTTATATTTCAAAAGTTCTCTTAAAGGTTTTCACGTGTGGTCATTTCTGGGACTGTCATAATTTCAAGTCTTTTGTTCATTCTGTCTGGATTAATTACTATATTATAGATTCTCACGTATTTTTGTTAGGATATGGCTTACTGTGGTTAATAAAAGTCATCTAAAATGACTTAGGACTTTAAGCCTATCGTTTTCTTTCCTGTTTAATTGCACACGATACCCCAAAATCGCATTCTGCTCCTGGCCCAGTACACAAAGATTGGTTTTTTAGCAAGTAGAGGAAGGTGATTTTTTTCTCTCTTGGATCCAATTACCTAGACTCATTCATACCCCTTCACCACAAAACCATGGGAATACAAGCCATTACAAAAGGGGTTTTACCACTGCTGTTTTCTTGACTGTTGCATTATCTCTTGATATGGTTTTTCTAATACATGTTTGCACGTTGAAGAATTTTTAGGATTTTAAACCTAGGAGGAATAGACTTGATCTATTCTGATTTACTTAGAAAAAGTACTGACTTGTGTCAAAAAAACCTGCTTTTTTGGTTTTTTCTGGTTTTCTGCTAGCTAACCTTAGGACCTTGATAAGTCATTTAACCCCGCCAAACCATATTTTTTCCCATCTTCTAAAAGGGAATAATACCATATACTTTATGTGAAAACTACTAAGGAATTATTTTTTATTTTAGCTATATGATTTATGAACTAATTTGTTAAAGTAGCATAGGAGGTTTCAAAAGTAGAGAAGTAGGTTTTTGTTTGTTTTCCTTTTATAACCTGCCCAGGCACAGGCACAGGCACACTCCTGGATAAGAAGCTGTCCCACTGTCATAACAAATGTGCTCAGTTGGGGTCTTGGCAGGGAGATTTTGTAATCCTGGTGTGTGTATGGTTGCCCCACGTGGCTCATGTTTTGGTTATGGTTTCCTTTTTTAAGTCAAGATTCTAATAGTTTTATTCTTTTGAGAAAGACACTAATGTTTAAATTTCTCTTTGAGAAAAATTAGTGCACTTCAAGGGCAGTTTGGAGGTGCTGGAACTCCCCCTTGTGGGATTGTGAAATATTTTCCATAACAAATGAAACAATATAGTAGTTTATTTTTGTTATGCTTCCAGCTTATAGAAGAATCTTACTTAAAATGGTGAAGTATAAATTCATCCATCCAGAAACTTACCAAAAATGACAAAATATTAGGCTTTAAATCACATCAGATCACTGTGAAAGTAGAATTTTTAGTGTTCACAATTATAATTTTGAACTTTTAACATCTTCACATTTGAAAAAATACTTTAAGGAAGAGAATTGGCTTGTCGGGTTAAGACCTGTAGAATCTAAATTGCTGTAGGTTTAAAAAAAAACAACTTAATTATAAATGTATATGTTGAAAGTGTATTGATATGGGGTTTTCTTTAAAATTTTTTTTTGAAAGTTTCAGATTAGAAGCACATGCTCAATATCGGGTTTTTATATATTCTTTTATTTAGTAGCCATTGTTTATTATTTTTAGTTTCTTGTCCTTTTCAAGCAAGTGTCTGTGGCTCTGCACCCACTTCTCTTCATTTGCCAACTGTATACTGAGTGTCGATTAAGTGGTAGGCATTGTGGTAAAAGCATCAGACAAGGTGCTTGCAATCTGCTGAGGAAGACAGACCTTGAACAAGTTATCACATTATAATGAGGAATGTTAGGGAAGGTCAGGTAAAAGGTGCCATGGGTGGGAGTAACAGCATTTACCCTACCTGTGTCAGGGAAGACCTCCGAGAGTGATATGTAAGCTGGGACATGAAGGATGAGTTGGGTTTAGCTAGGTGGAAAGGAGGGTGGGTTGGGGATGCAGATTCAAGGCAAAGGAACAGCAAATTCAGAAGTTGTGAGGCAATACAGCAGAAAGTAGACCAGTGAGGCTGGAGCATAAACAAAGAGGTGGAGACGAGGCAGGTGCTTGAGTTTTGTAGCTACAGTAAAGAAGTTGGGACTTTGGCCAAGCAGGAAGTCTTTGAAGAGTTTTAAGGAGCTAGTGGCATGACCTGATTCACATATTTGTAAACTCACTCTTGATTCAGTGTGGAGAGTGGAGTGGAGAGGGCAGAGGTGGACGCAGGGAGACTAGGAAGAAGTTACTGCACCAGCCTACCTACTTCGCTCCCTCCCCACCTCCCTCTAGGGCAAGGATCCATAAACTTTTTCTGTAAAGGCCTGGAGAGTATTTATTTTTGCCTTTGCAGACCATATGACCTCTGTTACAAGGACTCAACGCTGCTCTCGTAGCATGAACGCAGCCGTAGACAATACCTGAAGGAATGAGAACGGCTGTGTTCCAATCAAACTTCATTTACAAACACAGGCAGAGGGGCATATTGGGCTTATGGGCATAGTTTCTGACGCCTGATCTCTGGAGTATTAGGGATGAAAAGAAGTGAATGGATTCAAGGACTACTGAGGAGGTACAATCAATCTAACTTGGTTATGGATTTGTTTGAAGAGGGTAAGTGAGAAGGCGAAGTGAAATTGGTTTTTAGGTTTCTGGCTTAAACGATTGTGTGAATAACAGTGCTGTCAATGAATAATGGTGCTAAGACAAAGTACACAGCAAAGGTACCTGCCTTGGCATGTGTGAGGAGTCAGGCGATGCCCACTTGTTGGTTGGACACATGGGTGTGCCGAGAGGTCTGAGCTGGAGAGATAAATATGGGTGGCTTCAGCAAGTCAAAGAGCCTCCCCTAAGGAGGGAGCGAAGAGGGCAAAAGACAGAATCCTGAATAACTCTAACATCTGGTGGGTTGAGCAGGAAGAGCCAGCAAAGAAGGAGCCAAAGAGACAACCAAGAGAAGGACAAGTGGTTAATGGTGTTAAATGGGGCAGAAGGATTGGACAAAATAAGAAATTTCTATTGGATTCGGATATGAGGAGGTTATTTATAACTTTGGTTAAAACCATTTCAGAGAGTATTGGGTTTTTTTTTGTTTATATCTTTGATGGTGGGACTTGTTCAAAAAAAGACAAATTAAAACGTCTAGTTCTTCCTTAAGATTTTAGGTTCGGTTCACAAGTGGTATTATTCTGTTTAAGTCTAGCAGATACTAGCACTTACTTTTTCAATTACTTTTACTTTTGATTAATGTTTGGTTCCATTTACAAGCTTGGTTAAACTCCTTTTTTTTTTTTTTTCAACATCTTAAAATGTAATATGTTGTATTCTATTTTTTGTACTTTAATTGCTGAATGACAATTGAAGTAGTTAAAGATGTCTTTTTATATAATGTACTTAGGTAATTCTTATAAATCTAACAAATTAAACATAATTGTGGTGATTCTACTTAATACTAAATCTTCCTAGAGTGAATAGACACTTACCCACAATTGAGTCAGCCAAGGATTTGGGGAATGGCTTTTTACCTCACTGAGATTTCCTGGTGTTCTGACTGTGACTGCCAAGCCAAGTGCCTTTTATTATTATATGCCAGATGCATCAAACTGAACTAAAGAGGAATTTTCACAGCCAAGGTCCTTTAGATTCACATGCTGCACTGCCTGAATTTATTTTTTCTGAGGAAGATTTGCCCTGAGCTATCGTCTGTTGCCAATCTTCCTCTTTTTTTTTTTTTTTTTTGTGAGGAAGATCAGCCCCGAGCCAACATCCGTGCCAATCCTCTTTTTGCTGAGGAAGACCGGCTCTAAGCTAACATCCACTGCCAATCCTCCTCCTTTTTTTTTTTTTTCTCCCCAAAGCCCCAGTAGATAGCTGTATGTCATAGTTGCACATCCTTCCAGTGGCTGCATGTGGGACGCGGCCTCAGCACGGCCAGAGAAGCGGTGCGTCGGTGCGCGCCCGGGATCCGAACCCGGGCCGCCAGTAGCGGAGCACGTGCACTTAACCGCTAAGCCACCGGGCCGGCCCAATCTTCCTCTTTTTGCTTGAGGAAGATTCGCCCTGTGCTAACATCTGCACCAGTCTTCCTCTATTTTGTATGGGAGTCACTGCCACAGCATGGCTGCCAATGAGTGGTATAGGTCAGCACCCGGGAACCAAACCCAGGCTGTGGAAGTGGAACACACCAAGCCTAACCACTAGGCCATGGGGCCAGTCCCTGAATTTTCTGTGTATTCACCATCTGCAGCCCCCACCCTCCCACCCAAATGGCTGTATCCTTGGATTGGAGTTGGCATTTCCTTGTCTTCAAGATGTCGATATCATTGCATGTGGCTGTTGAGATCTTTGAATTTGATGAAATTTTGCACTCTTTTCATATGCTTTTGTCTCTTCCATCCATAGCGCTTCTACATATGAAAAATGATAGCCAGGTGAATTTTGGACATCGCTTATAGTTTTGTCATAGCTTCTAAGGTCATTCTGCAGATGGAAGGCAGGCATAAGAACAGTTAATTGTCTATTACTGGGTGAACCTACTTTAAAATAAAAGTAGACTCCTATGTTGAAACAAAATGTTCAAAAAGCATAAGAAATGCCAAACTAGAGTGTTCCTGTGTATATTTAGAACATATTTTTCTGGTTATTGCCATAATAGGAATTTTCATGTTGCCCAAGGGAGAGCTTATGATTTCCATTAGAATGTAAGCTCAATCTGCAGAACAGATTTTTCTGTTTTATTCACTGTTGTATTTCCAGTAAATAGAGTAATACCCAGCATCTAGCAGATATTCCAATATATGTTGAATGAATAAATGAATGAGTGAATATAGTTACTGAATAAATGATATATTGTTTAATATTAATACTAGATTGAACCTGCTTCTTTTAAGTATTTTCCCCCCTTTTTTCTTCTTTTAGGCAGAAACCACTAATACTAGCCTCTTGCAGGTGCAACTGGAATGCGGTTTACATAATAAAGTGTGTCAGCAATTAAAGGTAAAATAAAAAATTTAGTGTTTTCTCCCTGCCTTCCTTCCTGCCTCTTTGCTTAGAAATAAAAGATAAAATAGCACATTCTATTCTCAGAAAAATATACATGTGCTTACCTTAAATGCTTTTCTTTTTCTATAATTTGAAATCACAAAGTTTGGATGATTTTTTGAGTTTTTTCTTTTTTTCCATCCCTCCAATATCAGAGTTGTTATCTGGAATCTGATGATGTTTTACGGCTACAAATGAGCATAATTGTAACAATGGAGAACTCCTCAAAAGAATTTGAAGAAAACACACAAGATTTGTTAGATCATCTCTCTATTATTTATGTAGCTACAGATAAATCTGAGACCTCAGGTAAGGTGGAATCTTTCCAAATTTTCATTATCGTATATTTTGATCATCCTGCATCATCATTCTATAGCATTTTCTTGTAGATTATATCATGGCAATCCAAGACAAAGAGGCTTTGCTTTCACTATTAAGAGATCGTAATAGTAACTGGTTCTCAATCTGCAACTGCTAGCAAGGCTGTATTATTTTGGAATAAGTTAAGTGGCAACTGCAAACCATTCTGAGTTTCTTTGGGAATAATTTTTCTTGGCATTCTGGAGATAGTAAACAAATTGAATGGGCATGACAATCTAGTGTAAATATTCACAAGGTATTTGAAGTCTTGTGTCTCTTGTTCCAGTTTTGCTGATTTGCAGAAGCTCCGTTGACCAAATCGTGCTGTTTGCTGTTTTATTCTTTTAATAGTTGATTGGATGCTGGTTGTTCCTGGATGCCTGACAAGTTAGAGTAGTGTGAATTTTAGTGTTCATTTCTATGAATTCTATCTTTGAAAATATGTGTCCTACTTACCAGAAATAGCCTAGTTCATCACTTTGAGTTTCTAAGAACTTTTATAGGAGCCACATGATCCATGACATTTATAATGAAGGGTTTGCTGTTATCCATTAGTTATCAAGACTATTCTGGTGGGTGTTTATGTATATATATATATACACACACACACACACACACACACGTACACATATATATTTAGAGAAAGAAATGGTACCAAAATATAGTTTTATATTGGTAGTCTGAGTTGTTGGTCAAGCATCCTTTACTTTCCAGTCCTTGGAATTAGTTATAGTCTGATGCTTCAGCAGGAGAGTTTTTCTGTCCTTGGATTCATAGTTTTTGGTAATTCTCAGAATGGCCAGTTGGACATCAATGTAGAGAAGACCCCTCTCCCATGGGGAGGGTTAAAAGGAAGGCTACGTTTTGAGATCCCAGGGTTTTATTTTTCCCACGTATGGTCATCTAAATAAGGAGATGAGGGGGTCTCTAATCAAGAGGAGAATGTATCTTTATTTAAAGCTGTCCAGTTGGTTAGTTTCATCCAGAGGAATAGTAGTATGACCTTAAACTGGTAGTTCTTCCTCATTTAGAGAGCCTGTGTTGGTAGTCAATCTTTTTGTAAGGGTCCTTCTTCTTGTGACTTAAAAGAATATGCAACAGAAAATAGCCCCTAGTTTCAATTTCAGTGTTGAAAAATGAGTTACATTTCTTATAAAAATGTGTAATGTGATATTTTAACTACTATATTAAGGCATGAGAATGAGATGGCTCTTTGTTTTAATCTCATTGCTCTAATTCTTTTGGACAGATGATTCAGCAGTAAATATGTATATATTACATTCAGGAGACAGCCTGATATGGATACAGGTAATTGTAAATGCTTACATAGAGTAAGTGTTAAACTTGCAAGTGTATATTTAATTGCAGAACATGAGCATTTTTCAGGAACAGATACAAAAATGCTTGTCTCTATTCTCGTTTGCTAAAATTTAAACCCATTTTCCCTTGCTTGAGCCCATATTTGATGAAGGTTGTCAGCACCCCCTTCATACTGTTAGAGACACATCTGCTGAGCAGTTGCTCTGTATGCCAGTCTGAACTACTTAGTCATATTTAACAGAGTTGATTCAAACGGGATAAGTGTTCTCCCAGCTGAGAGTAGTAATGTGGATTTTTTTTTGTTATAGGATGTACATCATTTCTCCCAGAGAGATGCTCTGTCTCTGCAATTTGAGCCAGTGCTCCTACCTACTTCTACAACAAACTTTACGAAAATTGCCTCTTTTACTTGCAAAGGTACAGATTTTAAAAATATTGGAGATTGTCTTTTTATTTTTGTTACCTAGTTGTTATGGCAGTTCTTTCTGTGAAGTGACTCACAGCTACAGATGAGGCGTGGTTTTAAGAAAGTGAATGGGTTTGGTTTCAATACCATAGCCTTAATAGTCCTAAGACGTGGCGTGATGGAAAAAACTATTGTTGATGCCACTTTTATTCTGCCACATATGTAGGATTTTGAATTTAAAGCTTAACTCAATGGGTGAATTGAAAGACTAGGCTGTAAATGTGTTTGGTGGAGGTGCTGCGTTCACAGATAGAGAGGTTGTGCTGGCCCAGTTTTGTTCCTTTGTGTAGAATGCGATGCAGAATGTCTAGTGAGTGTAAACCCGATCCTAGCTTTAGGTTCTTACAGTTAAAAAGAATTCTGTAAAGAAATGCAAACGGATTTTAAACATATGAAAACATGCCCTGCCTCATGTTTTCATTTCAAATTACTTAGACAGAAAGAAATGTTAAAGCAACAAATGAGATATAATTTATTACTTAAATCGATAAAGATCAAAAAGATTGTTAATATTTTGTGTTGGTAATGATTATAAAAGACACTTATATTTTTGACAAGAGTGTAAATTGATACAGACTTTTTGGGAGGGAAAATGGACAGTCTTTATGGAAATTTAAGATGCATACGTATGCTCTTCAATCCTTAATTCTAATTCTAGGAATTTATCTACAGATATACTCATAAATGTATTCAAACCTACAGAAATGTGTGTTGTTTGTGACAACAGAACAACGTAAACATCCGTTGGTAGGAGACTGGTTAAACTGTGGTTCATCTCCAGGGGAGTATACTCTGTAGCTATTAGAAGCGGACATGGAGCCAGCCCGGATGGCCTAGTGGTTCAAGTGCAGCATGCTCTTCTTCGGCAGCCCAGGTTCGGTTCCCGGGCAGGGAACCACACCACTCATCTGTCAGTAGCCATGCTGTGGTGGCAGCTCACACAGAAGAACTAGAAAGACTTAAAACTAGAAGATACAACTATGTCCTGGGGCTTTGGGGAGGAAGAAAAAAAATAGAGAGGAAGATTGGCAACACATGGTAGCTCAGGGTGAATCTTTCCCAGCAAAAAAAGAAAAGAACACTAACTTAAAAAAAAAAAACAAAATGTACTTGGACATGTGATGCAAGCAGTGTGTATATTTGTTTCTTTTTTTTTTTTTTTTTTTTGGTGAGGAAGATTAGCCCTGAGCCAGCATCTGTTGCCAATCCTCCTCTTTTTGCTGAGAAAGATGGGCCCTGGGCTAACATCTGTGACCATCTTCCTCTACTTTATATGGGCCGCCACCACAGCACGGCTTGATAAGCAGTGCATCAGTCCTTACCCGGGATCCGAACCTGCGAACCCCGGGCCGCTGAAGCAGAGTGCGCGAACTTAACCGCTATGCCACCAGGCTGGCCCCACATTTGTTGTTTTTTTTAAAGGTTATCTGTGTACTTGTGTATGCATAGAACACCTGGAAAGATGCTCAAGAAACTGCTAGCGGTTGTTTCCTCTAAGATAATTGGGAATCAGGGGTGAAAGGTAGACTTTATTTTCCCATTTTTTGGTAGTGTTTGAATTTTTTTTGTAACCATATATATAGCTTAAAAAAAAAAGAGTTGAGTATTAGTATCAGAGTTAAGAATTCAATACCAGTGATTTAATATGATGACCTAGCTCAAGGAAAGCTTAATGTTGTTTTGATGAATCAGCAGTGTTTTGAAATGCATTCCCACTCTTGCTGTGAGGCTTCTTCTTGCTTTTTGGGTCTCTTTCTTTCTTGCTCATGCCTCCACATGCTCCTCTCCGCTCCACCCAGCTGAGCTTCACGTTTCATCTTTGTCATCTCTGGCAGACCTAAGGACTTTCCTCTTATTTATGGTGAACACAGATCTTTGTGAAGGGAAAGCCACAAAGTGCTGACTCTATTTTTTTTCCCCAAAAGAAGAAATGGGAGGTTGGTTTAAAAAAGGAGGTGGTAGGGAGCTGGCCCTGTGGCCTAGCGGTTAAGTGCATGCGTTGCGATGCTGGTGGCATGGCATGGGTTCGGATCCCGGGCGTGCACCGACACACCGCTTGTCAGGCCATGCTGTGGTAGCGTCCCACATAAAATGGAGGAAGATCGGCATGGATGTTAGCTCAGGGCCAGTCTTCTTCAGCAAAAAAAAAAAAAAAAAGGTGGTGATAGTAGACACCATGTGCTAGATAGTTGTAGTAGATACCATGTGCTAGATAGTTGGCAACAAACTGGTCAAGATGAAAGAGAGGAGTGTTTGAGAAAGGATTTTATCATTTATATCTGATGCACGATTTTAATGGAGACAGAAAAGTGAAGTAATTAAAAAGTTGTAGAGGCTGGCCCGGTGATGTAGTGGTTAAGTTCGCGTGCTCTGCTTCAGCGGCCTGGGGTTCGCAGGTTCAGATCCCGGGCACGGATCTATGCACCGCTTATCAAGCCATGCTGTGGCAGGCGTCCCGTATAAAGTAGAGGAAGATGGGCACAAATGTTAGCTCAGGCCCAGTCTTCCTCAGCAAAAAAGAGGAGGATTGGCAACAGATGTTAGCTCAGGGCTAACCTTCCTCATCATAAAAAAAAAAAACAAAAAGTTATAAATACGACGTATATCTTATTTTTGTTCAGGCGTAATGAAAGAATAGATACTTAGTCTTCATGTTTATTTCTTTATACATCATTACAGCTACACCATGTGACAGTGGCATGAAAGAAGACACGAAGAAAACAAAATACACTCCAACACTAAGAGCATGCCTCTCCTCTCCCGTGGTTCAAGGGTAGGTGAAGTTCACTTTCCCTGAAATCATATGTTACTTTTTTTTTGTCTGGAAATGATTTTAAAATATAACTGATAAGACTTGTATGATTCTTTCTCTCTGGACTTGCCTTCCATGCATTAATGCTGCTAACAGGCTGTAAAAGGGCTCTTTGCAGAATGGGAAAGAGGAAGCTGAATGATTCAGTTCATGAAATAAGTTCCCGGCCAAATGTGGGAGAAGAAATACTCGTGCTGTTTTTCTGAGGTGCAGTCGGGTCCTGGTTTTTCGATGGTGGCCTCTGTGAGCTGTCCTGGTCCTGACCTGGTCACTTCCCCTCTGGCCTTCAGATGCTCCACTTGTGAGGAAGAGGGCTGAAGAAGGGGACATCTAAGCTCGTTTCCGGCGCTGGCTTTCGTTCTCTGCTGTTGGGTGCCGCTCCTCTTTTCGCAGTCAGAGTCTCATTCGAGTGCTAACAGTTGTCTCACACTCGGGGCTGATAGCTTGCCTGTCCTGTGTTCACAGGTATTTTAGAATGGACTCCTCTGCAACCCAGTTTCACATAGAGACTCGCAAAAACACATCAGGAGTTTGGTCGATGTGGTACCTCAACCATTTTGATCGTGGTGTTGTGTTAAATGATGTGTTTGTTTCCAAGGAGACCAAGCACATTTTGAAGGTACATATATTTTTATCCAAGTTTTAGCTTATCATAAGCTTTGTGTAAGGTCAGAGGCTGTGAAGTTAATATTTATAAAATTTAATTTTTACTTAATTATTTTTAAAGCAAGTATTTTTCTTTTTAATGTTTTCAAAATTACTTTTAGGATCTCTTTCTTTTTTTATTTTTGTAAACTATTGCTTAAGGAGCTTAAAGGAACCAGGATATATCCTTTAAGGATATTTGCTTGTACCGTTATTCAAAAATATCATAATGTATAGTTGATACTAAAAAGATTATAGTTAGTAAAAATAAGCCTGGTTCATGATAAAATAGGTTTTTACAAAATACCACCTATGAAAATTTCAAAATTACTTTTGTGAAATTTAAAAATAATATATTAAACATTATTTAAAACCTATCATTCCTATAAAAATCTTTCAGTCTTTGACCTGGAAATAATTGAGTAAAATTATATTTTTCGGAAGTATAGAAGAACTTTAGTATCATACTTTATAATGATTTTAATCATAATTAGTGTTAGGAAAAGTAATTTCTCTTGCTTCTTTTCTTTTTAGATTCTGAATTTCACTGGCCCTTTATTTCTACCTCCAGGCTGTTGGAATATATTTTCTTTGAAACTTGCTGTTAAAGACGTTGCCATAAATCTATTCACCCATGTATTTTTGAGTACAAACATAGGTGCTATTTTTGCAATACCTCTGCAGATTTACTCGGCACCGACCAAGGTATTGATTACCACTCTATATATGTGTGAAAATTTTTGTAAAAATTACTGTTTCTTTCTATTATCTTATGGTGCTTGGGTTTTATTGGCTGAGTTAAGCTCATGTTCTTTAAGGCTAAGAAATTGAAGGATATTACCAGGCCGGTCTTAGATGGTAAATTGTTTAGATATGGAAATCTTTCTTTGAGAAGAGTTTCTATTTTTCGTAAGGTAATTTGAGGTCCTTGAATGAACTAAGTTTAAGGCATTACAAGTAGATCAATCTCATTTTCATTTATTTCCAAAATTTGTAGAGCAAGGAATATGTGCTTGCTGTAGAAAACACAGTTGAGCTTTTACTACATACTTGCAATGATTTCAAATAAATTAGATGGTTAAATGCTTTATTTAGACCTCCGGTAAGTGACTCTCACTTGTTCGTAATCCTTGAATTTCTTTAGTGGGCCAAATCTAAAGCCTGAAAGGGTTCACAGTTAAGACACTGCTTTCTAAAATCTGGGTAAATTGTATTTAATTTAGATCTTATCTTAAACATGTCTCATTTTTTCTTAATGTTTATTTTTTTTCATTTAGTTACTGTTATTGCTTCTTTTTGATCCAAGCTATCCTGTATAACGCCAGGTTCTAATTTTTCACTATGAGACATTCATACAACCATCTTTATGATTTTTCTCACTTATTAGCGTTGGTGTTTCATAGATAGAAATGCCTCATGTTTAGCTGTAAGCTTAAAGATAGGACTTCTAAAATTAAACTAAACAAACTGTAAGGTTAATTCCATTCATCTATATTTTGAGCAGGGGAGATTTCTTAGAAATTTCCTTTTTCCCATCAAGAGATGCGTATAAGAAGAGGGAGTGTGGGAGGGAACAGGCGGGTTTCAGGGATGTATGGAATAGCAAGTCTGTGATTTCCCAACCTGTAGGAAATGGAACATTAATTTAAATTTCCTGAGCAGTTTAGGAGTTACTATAGATTGGCATACAGCTTCTCAGTGGATTAGCATACAGTTGTTTTAAAAACCTACTAAGAGTGTCCTGAGACTAATTTAATCTTTAATTCAGAAGGCAGCTTGGTGTTTTTTGGTCCCAAGGGTTATCACTATGGGCATTGATTATGGTACAGAATCCACTGTTGTGATCCTTCCTGTGAGAGACAATTCAGAGCTCTCATTCAAGGATACAGAAAGCTAAGAAATCACTTTCTAGTTGTTTGGCTTCTGGTTAAAGGGAAGTTCACTGAGGTGGAAGCCAATGTCTGCTTTGCATTTGAGTGGGTTAGGATTTTTATGTTTAGTGTTGTGTTTTAAGTTATTCATATATTACTTTTCAATCTAGGAAGGGAGTCTGGGTTTTGAAGTGATAGCACATTGTGGCATGCATTATTTCATGGGAAAATCAAAAGCAGGTAAGTATTTTGCCGTTAGGCTTTCTGTGGAACTCCAGTTTGGGGTGGGGTGGGAAGTAGTGAGGAAAGTTAGCATTTGTAGATGGAATAATTAGTCCTGTGAATGTAATTGTATCATAGTCTGTTCTTAAAGAGCATGATCATTAACGGAATGACTTGAAATTGTTAAGAATCCTCCAGAAACATCCACAATACATGTGTAAATAATGCACCCCTTAAGTAGCTTGTATTTTTGTAACAGAGTTTTTCAAACACATTATTTGATCATCCTAGCAACTGTGTCTCCAGGAAAAATGGGAAGATTCTGGTTCTTTTATAGAAAGGCTGAATAGAAGTTAGTAAAAATAATTTGGAATTGTGTTTGAAGACTTCAGTTACGGGAACATAAAGATCTCATGGCGGGGGTGCTAGTGGTTGTGTGAGACCAAAGGACATAGAGTGTGAATGTAGAAGCTATTTCTAGTTTTTTTTTTCCTGCCTTTCAATTTATTAAAATATTTAATCTAAGGAGAATATTATAGTACAGAGATTTCTTTTGGGAAATTCTCACTTTTTTATCCTGATATGCTCTTTAGCACAGACAAGACAGAACACATGGAACAGAGAGGGTGAGGTGAACAAGAGACCAGTTTATAGACATGCACCTTCTCTAGGCTGAGTGCCCAGTCTGTGCGCTCTGAGGACTGCTGTTGGTTCATCAGCATTCTGCACAGTACCCCAGAGACGTGGATGACGAAGCACATTTACATGGAAGCAGTCTGGCCTTTTAGATTTAAAGCTGTTAAGAAATAGTCCAAATATAATTTTTAACTTTTTTCAGGCAGTATTCATGAGCCATGTGTCTTTTATGTTATTCCCTTTACATAATTCGATTTAGTTTTGTTTTATACATGTTTATTTGATTTGATCTATCATTTGCCATTGAGTTAGAGGGACTTTTAGTAAAGCAGTCAGAGGAATAGGGGCGTTGATTGACTCTCCAGCCTGTCAGTTTGAGAAGTTCAAATGTCAGCCGTTGGCTTTATTTACTAATTGAATTGCGTTTTGTGTAATTATAAATATTAAATCTGATCTAACTTTTAGAAAATCCTAATTGGGAAGGGAGCCTTTCTCTGGATCGGTCTACCTGGGATGTGGATTCCGAACTTGCAAATAACTTGTATGAAAGATGGAAGAAATTTAAAAATGGTGACGTCTGCAAGTATGTCTTCCCTTTCTTTGTTTCTTTTATTGAGCATTGGGGACACATAATTACATAGTACTTGATTGAAACTGCAGTACTGAATTTTTAATAATTGATATTTCTCTCCAGCCTTTATTTAACATTTCAAGCCTCAGAAAAGTTGAAAGTACAGTGCAATGAATACTCATATATTTTTCATCTGGATTCACCAGTTGTTCACGTTTTACCACTTTTGCTGTATTTCTATCTACGTCTATGTCTGTGTGCATGCACTCACACGTTTTCTTTTTGCTGAGTCGTTTGAAAGTCAGTTGCAGATATCATGCTACTTCAACCCTCAACACTTCATTAGGAAATACTTCACTTCCTAAGGAGAATATTCTCCTACATATAAGTACACTATCATTACAGACCCAACAAATTTAACATTGATACAGTTATATTATCTAATATTCAATCTGTATTCAAATTTCCCTAGTTGGCCCCAAAATATCCATTATAGCTGTCTTTTTCTTTTTTTTAAATCCAGGATCCATTCAAGGATCATGCATTGCATTTGGTTGTCATGTTTCCTTCATTTTCTTTAGACTGGTCTCCCCACCTTTCTTCAGCATTCATAATGTTGACATTTTAGAGTCCTAGCCATTTGTCTTGTAGAACATTCAACACTCTGGATTGTTTTGGTTGCTTTCTTACGTTTACATTCCTGTTAAACATTTTTGGGAAGAGTACTAATTACTTGGTTGGTCACGTGTCCTTGTCATTGTGTCATCTCAGGAGGGACATAAATGCCAATTTGTCCCATTATTGGCATTGCTAAGTTGAATCATCTGACTCCCTCCCTTGTATGTGTGATGGATCTCTCTCCATTGTAGATACATTTTTCCTTTTGCAATTAATAAGTAGTATGTGCTATGATAATTTGAGATCCTATAAATTTCCTGTTCTCTAAGAATATTTCACCCTGTGATTTTGGCATTCATTGATAATCCTTGCCTGGATAAGTTGTTAGATTGATGGCTGCAAAATGGTGATGTTTCTAATTGTTTTGTTCATTCTACATTCTTTTTGAGGATCACTGTGGATTCTTTTGTCTTTACCACAGTTACTATCATTTTATTTTTGATACTAATCCAGATTTGGATGATGAGAGCCCCTTCAGGCTAGCTTGTGGGTCTCTTTAACATGTTCCCATCATTCTTGGACCCCTTCCTTTCTTTCTAGTAAAACAGGATGTTCCAGGATCATCTTTACTTCCTCTTCCCCAGACCCAGAATAAGCCATTTTTTTCCATGAGCCCTTGTTCCTTTTAGTAGGGGTCATATTTAGTATTGCCTTTTTTTATGTCAAAATTATTTTTCATAATGATTTCTTTCTTTATGAATTACACAGGAAGAATGTTTTAGGAATGACTCGGTTTGCCCACTTGAAGAAATCTAAGGAGTCAGAATCCTTTGTTGTCTTTCTGCCTCGTTTAATCGCAGAGCCTGGCCTCGTGTTAAACTTCAGCGCAACTGCCCTGAGGAACAGCGTGGTGAGGCTCGTGTGCCCTAACCTCTTTCTCAGTGACACCCCAGCTCTTGGGTTTTTACTGTACCAGAGTCTTTCCACCTTGAGAATATTGTTTTAGAACCAAAGTGAATTTAAATTCACTTTAAGTGACACACATATACCATTCAGTGCTTTTAGTAGGGAGGTGTCAAAAGAACATAATAAGGGATAAAACTCTAAACAGGTGGAAAGTACATAAAACAAATACGTTTTATGAAGTTTGTATTAAGTTCAAACTCTATCAGCTAAGAAAGTATTCATTACAAACAACCGAGAACATCTTGACTGACAGAGGCTTAAATAGGATTTAGTTTGTTTCATAACGAGCAGCTCAAAGGGGAGAAGTCTCGAGCTGGTGAGGTGGCTCTGTGATGCCATCGGGAACCAGGCTCTCTGTGTCTGTCTCTCCCTCCTCAGTGTGCTGACTCCTTCCTTGTGTGTGCTCCTCTCGTTGAGCTTGGGTGGTAGGAGGAAGGGCGAAGGGAAGGAGGTGACACCAGCAGACTTCCATTACGTCTCATAAGTCTCATTGCCAAAGAGCTATGTTCCATATTATCTGAGTCATAATTTATACTCCATCAGGCACTCATTGGGTTTCTTAGGGATGATATCCCCAAACTGTTTTTAAAAAACTTTTTATTTTGAAATGATTTCAACTTAGAGAAAAGTTTCAAGGGTAGTACCAAGAACTCCCAACTGCTCTTCACAAAGATTCATCAATTTTTAACATTTGCCACACTTGCTTTATCATTCTTTCTCTCTCTCTTTCCACATGCACACTTTTTTTTTTTTTGAGGAAGATTAGCCGAGCTAACATCTGTTGCAAGTCCCCCCTCTTTTTTTTTGCTGAGGAAGACTGGCCCTGGGCTAACGTCTGTGCCCCTCTTCCTCTACTTTATATGGGACACTGCCACCACATGGGTTGATAAGCCGTGTGTAGGTCCACACCCGGGATCCAAACCTGCAAATCCTGGGCTACTGAAGCAGAGTGCGCAAACTTAACTGCTACACCACTAGGCCGGCCCCCACCCCACACACATTTTTATGAGCCATTTGAGAATGTCAGATATTATACCCACTTACCTCTAACTACTTCAGTGTACATTTCCTAAGAACAAGTTCTTATGACCCAGAGTATAATTACCAAAATCAGAAAATGTAACATTAATCAGAATAATATTATCCAATCTACAATCTATAATCAAATTTTTCCAGTTATCCCACTAACATACTTTATGGCAATTTTTTTCCCCCTGGTTCAGGATCCAATTTAGGATCTCGCTTTGTCACAGTCACATCTTTTTCATCTCCTTTAATCTTCCTCAGACTTTCTTTGCCTTTCATGGTGTAGACATTTTCGAAGCATGCAGGCCATTTATTTTCGAGAATGTCCCTCGATTTAATTTGTGTGATGGTTCCCCATGATTAGATGCAGGTGGTGCGTGCTTTGCAGGCAGATCTCAGGGTGATCCTGTGTCCTTCTCAGGGTTTTGATTTTCCTTTACCTGTATCTAGGTGAAGTACTTTGTGGTGAAGAACCCTTCCTCTCTGCCAGTCTCCTTGCAGCTCCTGCCTATCGCCTTGTATCCTAAACCTGAAGCTGCAGTGCACCTGCTCCACAAATGGTAAAGCGCCCGGGCAGGGAAGACTTGCTGATGGGGGGTTTTGCAAATCCTGTTAAGACTCGAAGTCATTTAAAGTCCTGTGCATTTTTCACCCGGAACCTATGTGTGGATGTGCACAGTATTGACCCATGTAACTTGGGCACCCAGCCCCTTAGTGCATGTAACTTGATGGAAATTTCCAGTTCTGTTTGTTATGTGGCATCTTTGATGTTACTATGTCAAGTCCAGTTCCCAGCAGAATATTCTTTTCTTTGGTCAGGGCGCCTTTACAATCATGATTTTTCACATATGCTCCTAAAATTTAGAATGCAAAACATGATGATCTCTGGACGACACAAGAAATGAGTTTAGTGTTTTAGTATATTTTAATCTAGTATTGTTAAACAAGGGAAGGTGATAATACTGTAAATTCATGTCTGTTATATCTTATTTCCATGCAACAATCACAGTTTTGCTTAGAATGTTTCCTCCTTTTGGCTTAGTAGGATCTGCCCTTATCCTCGGGTTTCTCAACTTCAGCACTATTGACATTTTGGATCAGATAATTCTTTGGGCGAGGAGGGACTGTTCTGTGCTTTGAAGGATGTTTAGCAGCATCTGTGGCTGCTACCCAACAGATGCCAGTAGGACCTCCCCGGCTGTGGCAACCACAGATGTCTCCAGACACTGCCAAATGTCCACTGGGAGATAAGATTGCTCTCGGTTGAGAGTCACTTCCTGTCAGGTTCCATAGCTATGAACCATTTGGAGAAGAAAAACTACTTCATATTTAGAGCTTTTGTCGCCATATGCTTCTTTACATTCTGTGCTGCTAAAGCCATTCATTCACAATATTTACTGAGCACTTACAATATGTCAGGTACAGTGCAAGGGGGGCTGGGACACAGTAGTGACAGGGCAGGATGAATTGTGTGCGTGTGCAAATACGTGTGCTCACATATATATAAATAAGTATATGTGTACACATGCATTATTATCTATACACATATATATTATTCTTTCTTTATTGGCAATCTGAATGCTATTTTAAACATTTTCTTTCTTTATAGGTTTGGCACTGACATGCAGATGATTAATTTCACAACGGGTGAATTCCAGCTCACCAAAGCTTGTCCCTACCGGGTAGGATGTCATCTCTAAACAGAAAAAAGAATGCGGACAAACTAGACTCATAGTATATGGGCCTCACTGATTTATGTTTCAAATGTCTTGACGTAACACATGTGGCTCTCTTATTTTTATATTCTAGGCATTAAATATACATAGCAGGTTTTTCCAATTAACTAATGCAGCAGGAGTCCATGGTTCCTGTTAGCCTGTAAAGCGTTTTAATTTGATGGTTTAGATTCATGTGAGTGAAGAAATAACAATTGAATCAGAGCTATGTAGAAAACCATAAAACCCGAGACCCCATATTTATAATTCTTTTAAGATTCCTTGGCCCCATCAAATTCTTTTTTGGGCAAGATGAGGTAAAAGCAAATACATTTAAAAAAATATCTTTTCTTACTAAACTGGCTTCATGTTTTTAGCAAGTTACCCCGTTTCTGTGGTATTCACCTCATCTATAAAAAAGGATTTCTCTGAAGTTCTTAAGCCTCTGGGCACTCACGAGGTCTTGCATAAATACTTTGGAGTAGGAGTAAACATGTCATGTGGCGAGGATGTTGTTTGACTGGGGACTTGGCAGACTTGTGTCTGAGTTTTCACTCATTGTGTGTAACTGGGTGTTTTCCTTACCAGTATTCTATGTGTGAGATCAATTCAGAAGTGGAGCATCTGTTAAAAAAATACACACATACACATAAACATACATATGCTTATAACTATATTTCTAATACTCACACATATTTAAATGCCTTGGTTTTTTTCTTTCTCCACACTTATCCCTCCAAAGATACACTGTTGGCTCTAGAGTAACTTGAATAAGAGAAAGAGGGAGACCACAGATAATCTCCAACTAAGAATTAAAACTAATCAAAGCAAGTTTTTAAGTGGATTTTTTTTTTTTTTTTGGTGAGGAAGATTGGCCCTGAGCTAACATCCGTTGCCAGTCTTCCTCTTTTTTTTTTGCTAGGAAGATTAGCCCTGAGCTAACATCCGTGCCCGTCTTCTACTTTGTATGTGGGACACCATCACAGCATGGCTTTGTGAGCGGTGCATAGGTCCGAGTCCGGGATCTGAATGCGCAAACCCTGGGCCACCAATGTGGAGTGCATGAACTTAACCAATAGGCCACTGGGCTGGCCCCTTAAGTGGATTTTTAACTGAGACTTATTTACAGTAGGAAACACATTAATAGCAAGCGTGTTCCTCTGTCCGTGTAAGTGGTCTGGACAGCATGGTCTTGTTCTTGTTAGCAGCCTGTCCTGCTCTGTCCCTCTCGTTCTCCTCTCCACCAAGCAGTCTCCCAGGGCTGCTGGGGGTAGATTAGTCCAAAATACTAAGAGATATTTTGCCTCGCTAGTATTGAATCATATATGATTTGAAATTCCAAAAATAATGCCAATTCCTTTTGCATATAAATATCCTATTCAGATTTGAACAAATGGTGCAACTCATTTGGAAAAAGTTTTTAATATATGATTGAAGATTTTCCCCAAGAATATTATACCTTTTGTGATAAAGGAAATTATTACCTTTGTGAATTTATTACATTGACAGAAAGAATAGTCAGTATCAATGTCTGAGACGCTTAAAAATTTAACTTGATGTTAGAACTCCTTATCATGTAAAGAAAGGCCTACATTTTTATTTTGTGGGTTTACTTTTAGAAATGTAGTTCCTTTGGTTCAGAGCGTGTGGAATTGGACGTGCAAGTTTCCAAATCCAGGCTGTTCCATGTTCTAGCTATATGACCCTGGGCAAATTATTTAGCCTCTCCAGGCTTCGTCTTTCTCACTCATAGTAATGTTTGAAGGTTCAATAAGGTTTATAGACTGCTCAGCATTCTATATACCTAATTATATTTCAGTGTCTGGCCTATAAGAACCATTTAATAAATGGTGCTGTTATTATTATAGTTTTAATACTAAAAATCAGCTTTTCATTCAATATTCATATTATATTTATAAAGCAAAGTTTCTCACTTCATGGAGTTTATAATTCTACTGAAAATGAATCAAAAAACATCACTATTTCTTCTTTCAGATAACATGGGAAATGCTAGCAATAATTGAAGGATAAAACGCATTTTTTTTTTTTTTTAAAGATTTTATTTATTCATTTTTTTCCCCCCAAAGCCCCAGCAGATAGCTGTATGTCATAGGTTCACATCCTTCTAGTTGCTGTACGTGGGACTCGGCCTCGCGCTGGACGGAGAAGTGGCGCCTTGGGGCGCGCCCGGGATCCGAACCCGGGCCGCCAGCATCAGAGCGCGCGCACTTAACCGCCAAGCCACAGAGCCGGCCCTAAAACGCATTTTTAAAAAAACATAGACTAGCCAAATATTACTAGGAAAATTATGTGATTCTAGCTCTAAGAAATTAATAAGTTGTTTTTAGTGAGAAGGAGCTAGAAAAAGTAGTGAAAAGAGGGCAAATGATAACTAAATCTTGAATATTAAATTTCGAACACAAGATTTATTCAGAGAAAGTTAGAAATCTTGGAGAGAATGAAGGAGGATGTGAATAAAGATCTTTCTCCTGAATGGAGAGACTGAATGTAATAAAGATGATGTGTATATCAACTTAAATTAAATATTGAAGGGAGTTTGGGGCTGTCTCGCGGTGGATGGGTGGTTTGGTCAGATCCCTGGGGCGTTCAAGCAGGGGCTCCTTGGTCTGTTTTCTAAGTGACGTTTTTATTCAAAGCATCTTTGCATAGACGGCTTCTAGCCCCAACTCCCATCCAAGCTGGGAAGCAAATCCCCTTTCCAGCATCCATGTCAGGTTGTCCTGCAGCCTCTGCCTGTACTTCTCAGCCGTAGCATGGGAACTGTGTATTGGTGCGAACTCGCAGAATAAACAAGTTCAACAGGTTGCTGAAAGTGGTCAGATCCGGACATTAGAAGAAAGGCAGTCATGTTTTACTCTAAAATGCACGTAATGGAGATGGAAGCTCACTTTACAGGAGTTGTTTAATGGCATGTATTAAATTTGCAGAGTATGCATTCTGAGGAATCCAGGTTTGGCATCCTCCACTTACATTTGCAGCCTTTGGAAATGAAAAGGATCGGTGTGGTTTTCACACCAGCTGACTATGGAAAAGTTACCTCACTCATACTAATCCGGTAGGTGTGTCCCTGTCACAGAGTCTGTTTCTTTCTTGCTGACTCTCTAAATCTCTTTCTCTCAAGGATACCTAATCTCTTTTTAGCTAAGAGTTGACATGTACGTCTCAGTCGGGCCTTCAGGGATGAGGCTGTGTTGCTTGTTAGGAAGAGGCGGTGGCTGAGAAGGGAAGCTATTTGAGGCTCCATGCTTAATCCCCCTGTGCCTCAGTTTCATCCCTTGTACGGTAGGGAGTGTGTGCCCGTCTCTTCAAGAGCAGCAGTACATTTCACTCAGCATCTCATCCGCTGCTCTCACAGAGGGCAGAACGCACACGCGAATGCACACACACAAGTACACACAGGCGCGCGCACACACACGCATTTACTTCTCTGTCTTTAGCTTAGAAACACTGCTGTGTACATTTTTACTCTGCAATGTCTGGATTTACACCACTCGCACATATGTCACTCTTGCGTCTGGAGTTCTCTGTAGCCCCAAAGGACGATGGAAAAAGTGCTTTGTTGAGCCCATTGGCTCTTTTTACTTCTTTTCCTTCCTCTTAAATGAGAGGATTTAAGCAGCTAAATGTTTTTCATTGTTAAATTTTTTTCATCTTTAGGTAGTCTTTATTGAGAGTCTTCTTTTAGAAATGTAAATACAGATCTATGTTGAAGCTCTCTGCATTGGTGAGAAGCCTAACACAAATTTAATTTTTAATAAATGACATTTTAGTTATTTTTTTTAAGCTTTTCTAGTATCAGATCAGCTGGCAAAGAGTTCCTTATTCTGGACTTTTTTAAATATATGATATGTGTTTGTTCTTCTGCAAGTGAATGCTACTGAAAAAGAAAATGTACTAAAATGAAGTTCTTAAAAGAATTTGTTCTATTAAGCATTTTAACTAAGACTCCTAATGCCCTGTTGACAGTGTGTTTTATTTTAAACCCATTCTCCACTGAAGAACGAAGGTTGTAGGAAGTGCAGAGACAAACTTCACCTCATCTAAGGTTCTATCCTAGACTCAGAAAAAAAGGCTCAATTTTTTAAGTAGTTATTCTTGGTGGTTTCTATATTGATAGACAATATTTTTCTGTAAACAATATCAATCATCTGACATCACTTAAAAGCTTTTAAATGGTTAAATAAAAGGTTTTTAATCCTTTAGATAAAGGTATAAAGATAGCTGTATATTTTGCATAATTAGAAATGAATTCTCTCTCTACTTCTATAGTATTTACGTTACTGATGACTGGCTTTCAGTCCAGTCTGCATCATTTAAACATTATTTTCACTTATCTTTTTTGTCATAGGAATCATGATTTCACTTAATGAAAAGACAAAAGCTAGTCTGAATTTCTGTTTGATTAATAAAAACTCGAGTAGATATGTGTTCTTTGTGGGATGACATTTTAAATCTTTGGTTGAGAAAAAAAGTAGGATTTTATTCTAGAATTATCCCTAAGGCAGAATTTCTTATGGTCACAATTACTATGAAAACTCCTTAATTTACCCTGTAAACAATTTTTATCAATTTGTCTAAATTTGTAGGTGTTTCTTTGTGACCCCCGATTTATTTCTGTAGTTTTTTTCTCTTGGAGGTCTGATCACCACCCTGGTGGCTGGTTATTAGAAAAACATGGGTTTACGTGCTGGGCTGAGATTGGAGAGTGATGAGGATCATTCACTCCTTCATCCTGTAGTCAGCTCGCTTTGACTCTTCCGGGCTTGGCAGCGTCCATCGCCCACCAACGCCCCTTCATTCCACGAGATGGCAGGAGATGCCACACTATTTAAATTGATTTTCTTTTTCAAAACTTTAAAAATGTTTTTGCTATCTAGGAATATTTAAATTTAAGTGCATTGTATCTCATGACTCTATTGTAATGCCTTTTTCTTTGCGTCTCCTTTCACTGCAGGAATAACTTGACTGTTATCGACATGATTGGCGTGGAAGGATTTGGAGCCAGAGAGTTACTGAGAGTGGGTGGAAGACTTCCTGGCGCGGGCGGTTCACTCCGATTCAAGGTGCCCGAGTCCACGTTGATGGACTGCCGTCGACGTGAGTACATACTCGTGGCGCTCCGACAAGGAAGGCTTGGTGCTAGACCCAAGAGCAAAAGGATGCTATGAGAAGATTCTTTTACAAATTGACAGTAAATTCGTTGTGTTGATGCAAATAATTAAGTCAGGCAAACATTTGAGCATATATAGGCTGGTTGGTAGTGCTTAGAACAATAGCCTTAGATATTTAACCCAACTTGAATAATAAATATAAAGAAAAAAAGTGTAATTGCTAAATTATCAGTAGAGTGTCAAATATTTAAGCTAAATAGTATAAAACTTCTAATTTGGTTCTCAGTTACCTAATCATAGAAAATCATACCAAAATGATGAATGGAGAGGAAAAACTAAAGGTCTCCTAACTAGTAGAGCTTTATGCAATAAAGGAAATGTTCTATATCTATGTCATCCAGTACAGTAGCCACTTGCCACATGCGGCTAATGAGCACTTAAAATATTGCTAGTGTGACTGAGAAAATCAATTTTTAAATTTATTTAATTTTAATTTAATTTAAATTTAAGTAACTATATATGTCTAGTGGCTACTGTATCAGACAATGCAAATTGAGAAATTTATTTAAATGTTCCATTAGAAATTTCTAAATTATGCATGCATTTAAATTAAATGCTTTTAAACTACTTATACTGGTTTCAAGAACTTCAGGAACTAAAACAAATATCAAACAATGGATGTAAAATGGGTTTTGGTAAATTCTGTTTTGTTTTCCTGTTATTATTTTTAATTTCAGGAACACACTGAAAGTATTTTAGCATAACAATATGTTTCCTATGGAGAAAACTGGTTGGTGAAACTATTGGATAATTTGTGGTGCTATTTTAATGCCTGAGTGGAATTTTTCTTTTTTAGAAAACTATGCTAAATGAGGACTGAGTTTGTAAAGATTTGTTAGCCTCTTTGCATTCAAAATTCTTCCATCAGAGTATTCATTTTTCCATTCATTCATTTATCCAATAATTTAGAGTTGACTGTGAAAGATAGAATTAAGGAGTAATATAAAAACTGTAGAACCAGATAAAAATTAGTTTTTCTATGGGATATTGTGAGCTATAAATTTATAGGAATATTTTAAAATTATGGTAACTCTTCCTTTTTTAAACTCTCGTTATAAAATGTGCTCTCATTAATTTGTGAGGATTTAACTACTTCATCTTAATGTGGTGGGAGTTTGAACTGTGTTTCCAGTAGCTGTGATGGATTTACACAGAAGCACACACACCCTCTCTTAGCTGACCCCTGTTCAGTGTGAGTGAGGATCCCAGGGGCAAAGGGTGCATGGTGGTTAGTGGGAAATCCAGACTATTTGGCTTCTGAAAAGAATAAACGTTTAACCTTAACCTGTAATAAGTAAAAAAGCAAAGAAGAGATTTTGATTACTTTTGATACTTATGCAGATCATTTAACTTAGGGAAAATCTTGACTAGTTAAGTATTTTTTACATTTTAATAATCATGGTTTGTTGATTCAATAAATTATTTTAAATACATTTTGCAGTTCATATTTACCAAATATCACTTTTCATTCTTACTAGAACTGAAAGACAGTAAGCAAATTTTATCTATTACAAAGAGCTTTAAAGTTGAGAATATCGGACCACTTCCTATAACTGTGACATCTCTGAAAATTAATGGGTATAATTGCCAAGGTTATGGATTTGAAGTGCTAGATTGTCATCAGTTTTCCCTGGACCCAAACACAGCCCGGGATATCAGCATTGTGTAAGCATTGAACTTTCATCTCGTTTAAGTTTTATGATGCATTTAATGTAGCGGGGGAGGGGGACTTTTTTTCATTGGTAAGAAACCTTGTTTTTATATAAGTATTTATCTTATAGAAGTAAGATGTTTTGCTGCCATTATGATTATTTTTTTTGTGCCTAAAATTAAAACAATTAATGTTCTTAGAGATGAGTCTTTTGTAACCAGGTTTACTCCAGACTTTACCTCCTCCTGGGTGATTCGAGAGCTGACTCTTATAACTGCAGCAGACCTCGAGTTTCGCTTCACTCTCAATGTGACGCTCCCGCATCACCTCTTGCCTTTGTGCGCAGACGTGGTCCCAGGACCCAGCTGGGAGGAGTCATTTTGGAGGCTCACGGTCTTGTTTGTCAGGTAAACCACCACCTTCTCCACTGAGTAGAGAAGCCACCCAAGGGAGTTGCATGAAAATGTATATTGACCGGATATAATCAAAACATATGAACTGAGTGGAATTTGTATTGCTTTGAGGACCCTGACGTACATGAAATAGACAAAGTAGTAACTGGTAAGCTTTAAGATAGTAGTAAACTAATTAAGATAGTAGTAAGAGGTTCATAGGACCTAGAAGTATAATAGACAGTTGTGCTCCATATATGCTCATTGGCACAGTAGAAGATATAAATGTTATTCTTTTTTCTTTTTTTTTTTTTTTTTGGTGAGGAAGATCAGCCCTGAGCTAACATCCATGCCAATCCTCCTCTTTTTGCTGAGGCAGACCGGCCCTGAGCTAACATCTATTGCCAATCCTCCACCTTTTTTTTTTTCCCTTTTTCTCCCCAAGGCCCCAGTAGATAGTTGTATGTCATAGTTGCACATCCTTCTAGTTGCTGTATGTGGGACGCCGCCTCAGCATGACCAGACAAGCGGTGCGTCAGTGTGCACCCGGCATCCGAACCCAGGACACCAGTAGCGGAGCACGTGCAGTTAACTGCTGAGCCACGGGGCTGGCCCCGAAGATATAAATGTTATTCTTATTAGCTCAGTGCAATAGCATTTTGAGATTAGAAGACTAGAATGACCCTTGTAGAGTGATTTTATCCTGAAAGTGTCTTTAAAAATTGAATTGGAATGTCAGACTTACAAATATGCACAGTTTTAGAAACTTGGTTTGGTTTTTTTTTTTTTAATCTTTAAGAAATGTCAGAAATTATGATGTCATACATCTTATGGAATTTTAATACCGTGTCTTTAGATGTTTTCCATCAACTGTTCATCACTCTTCTATAATAAAGCTAGTCTTTTTAATCCCAGTCAGAACCACGCAATAAAGAACCTCGTTGCTTTCTTCCTCAGTTTGTCCCTGCTGGGTGTGATTTTAATAGCCTTCCAACAAGCACAGTACATTCTTATGGAGTTCGTGAAAACAAGACAGAGGCAAAACGCTAGCTCCTCTTCCCAGCAAAACAGCAGTCCGATGGATGTAATCAGCGCCCATTCTCACAAGTAAGAATTCTCGTAGTGTGTTGGGGGGGCGGGTTCTCACCTTTGATATTACTCATTTCTGATTTTATTTGAAGATAATATAAATTTTGATTCCAAACTTGTTTTCGTAAAATTTTCAAGTCATTGTGTGACAGCTGTAACGTTTCTTTTATTAAATAAAAGATAGACTTCACGTAAGGACTGAGTGTATGAAACTCATGGAGCTTTAGAAGAAGGAAAGGTGGAACTCCTTAATACACACAATACCAATTACTGCCTCTTTCACATGGATTTAGAAACAGACAGGTAGAGTTTTATTTGGTTTGCCTTTATGTTAAATATTTTTCTTCTTAAATTCAGAAGCAATTGCAAGAACTTTCTCGATACCTATGGCCCCTCTGACAAAGGCAGAGGGAAAAGCTGCATTCCGGTAAACACTCCACAGAGCAGGATCCAGAATGCTGCCAAGAGGAGCCCAGCTACCTACGGTCATTCTCAGAAGAAGCACAAGTGCTCACTCTATTACAATAAACAGAAAGCCAGCACGTCTGTCGCCAGCAGTGCCAACACTACTACTGAGGAAAAACAGACTTCGATCCTGGGCAGCTCCCTGTCTGCCCCTAAAGAGGACATGTGCACTGATGTTATGGGGGAGAACTTGATAAACCTCAAATATGCAAGTGGCATAAATGTCAACCTGCAGAAGAATTTAACCCTTCCCAAAAACTTATTGAATAAAGAAGCAAACACACTGAAAAACACAGTTGTTGTCAATAATACTTCTTCAGAATGTCACATGAAGGAGGGACTACAGACATGTATGTTTCCTAAGGAAACGGACATTAAACTTTCAGAAAACATAGCTGAGCTCAAGGAACAGGAGCTCTGTCCTCTGAAAACCCCTAAGAAGCTACCTGAAAATAATTTGCCAAAAAATTCACCTCATTTCCAGCCAGACTTGCCAGAAATTTCCAGGAAAAATAATGGTAATCTTTTTATTCTCCTTGATGATTCTTCTCTCCTGTCTGTCTCCAGTCTGTTTCTCATGGAATTTGTTCTCACCTGTGATCTTAGTTTTAATTGTAAATGCTGAGTTTTTAGTTCATGCACAAAGTTTTAGTAAAGGGGTAAATGTTGAAATAAGGTTTGTCAGATGAAAAGTTTAGGACAAGGCACCAAGTTTTTAGAATGTCGTGGCTAAGAAGTTTACATTTTAGCCCGTACGTTTAGAGGGATGTGAAATCATATTTTATTGCTGGGAGGACATCGTTTCCTAATTATTTTTTATTTTGGCTTTTCAGACTATTTGCAAAAATGAATCAGCCCATGAAATGTTTCTGACTAAACAAAACTTACCAACTTGCTATATTTAACAAGTGCCGCCATCTCATGCTCCTCGGCCCTGGTTCTTCACTAATTCTGTCCCTCGTTTAAAGGAAGGCTGATGTTCTCTTGTAGCAAATACAGTTAACGAGAATGTGAGCAAACACTAGACTAGAAAGATTGCCTACCTATAAAATTGTCATTAATCTTTAACTAATCCCTGTGGCCTCTGGCATAAGAGCCCATGCTTATTATGTTTGTCCATCCTGACCATTTTAATAAGCACATTTCTGTTGCTTTTAAAAGTCAAATTTTTGACACTTTTTATTCTGGAAAAATCAGTTACCTTTGATCTTATTTGAAACATCTAAATATAAATAACTTCCTATTTTTCACTCCTTGCTATTGTAGAGGAGGTTACAGACGTGTTATGGATTGGCTGATTCTAAGGAGCTTTCTGCATTTAGTCAAAAACCCCAACTGAATTAAGTGTTCCATAAAAGGACGTTTCTCATTCAAGGAAAGCTGGAGTCCTCTGAGTGGAACATGGTGTGGGCGGCTACACATGCCTTCCTCACGCACCTTGTTCGTACCTGTTTGTACCGTTTCCCTGGCAGCAGGGCACATGCTTGAAGTGGACTCCTGTTTGTAGGGTCAACACTGTCCCCTGTGTCCTCTCCATCTGGCGTGTGAGTACGCCCTCTGGACAATGCACTCACCCAGATCTGCGGAGTCATAACATACCTTGTCGGGTGGGGTGCCTGTTGCTCCATTTCTGTCTCAGACATTCTCTTGGGCCCAGACTCCAAAACTCTAGTGAAAGGGTGAAATTATGGGATGAGTCCGGCTGGGCTTTCCTCTTGTTTTGTGTGTCCTTTCGGCCTGAGCACAGTATTTGACTAGGCTGACTTTACACAAACTTAAAGTCATAGTTGTTTGAAGGCATTGTCCCTCCAGAAGTGCTGCTTCTGTGGTCCGTTACATCCATCAGATATCTGGGTAAATGTGCCTGAAATATGCAATGGCTGAGGTATTGTGGATGGATAGATGGGAGAGAGCTTTGGCTGCATCATAGTAATTGGAAGGGGTTGAAATGTAGAGGTGTGGACCAGCAATATGTAGTGCCCAAGTGGCTCAGAGGATTGAATTCATGCTTCAAGATCCTCCTGTCCAATACTTGCTGTTTAATGCCTGTATTTGAGCCTAGATGCCTATAGCTGAGCCTAGAAGACCACGTAATAACACTTCAGCAAGTGTGAGTAAATTTAATATGGGAGTCCATAAACATAGGGTTTGCTTATATCGTTGTAGATGACAAACTGCCCAGAAACTTTCCTTCCTGTGCAGATTACTGGTATGTTTATAATGAATGTTTTAAATGGAAATAAATCTTTCCCAACAAGAAGATTTTTTAAACTGCTTTTTGGCTGGATCAGCAGCGTGTTATGTGGTATCGGGGTGATTGTTGATCAGATCAAGTAAGAGCTGATGAAAGAATGTTGGCTTTCCACCATGTTCATACCAGCAAATTCAAAGGTGCTAATTCACAGTCCTATATTTCTCTCCAGAATTAATATGTCAGCAAGAGATTCCTCACAGGGAAATCCACTCATTGACATGTATTTTGTTCTGACTTTCTGTTCCCATCACTATTCTAGGAGAATATCAAAGAGATTAAAAAGTAAACAAATTAGCTGCCATCAATTTACAGTTTTTTAAACATTTCAAAGAATTGAAAATTTAAAAAATAAGAAAGGACTGAGAAATGTAAGGGAAGAAAATTGTGGTTTGAAGGAAGGATTTGGAGGTTTTTAGTAATATTAAGGGTTTGGGGTTCTTTTGTCAAATTTCACAGGAAAACATTGTAATAAACTGGCAGATGGTGAACAGGCATATAATCGGCAGGGAATCTGTAATGTGTAAAGAGTACTCAAGAATGAGAAAAACGTATATATAAGAACCTTCCAAGCTTTCACTTCCAACTTTGAGCATTAGTTCTTTTTTTTATTTTGAAAAGTATTTACTTTGTGAAAAGCATATTGTTTCCATCTGAAGGTCCTTTCTAGAATCTGAGGAAAACAGCTTCAGTCTGGTGAGCAGAACTTAGCTCACCTGATGGTTGTGATCCTATTGGGAACTTCCATTCATTCAGTTGAACCAGTTAGTGTGTTTGCCACATTTGCCATTTCTCCCAAAGTGCACAAATGTTCTTAGAAACAAATCTAGTGATAAGATTGCCTTTGGGAAAGAGGGACGGGGGAGGTGGTCTGTTGCTTGAGCGCCCAAAGTGATTTTCTTAAGCTATCAGAACTCCTTGGGGCACCTGAAGAATTGTGCCTTCTCCTATTCAGAGGCATTTTATTTTCTGAGTGTAACTTATTGTGTGAGAAAAAAACGTTCCAAGGTGTGTGTTAAAGGCACTGACTACATGTCATCGTTATTGTTGAAACACAGACTATTTTCTGAATGCCAGAAAATGTATGTTCTCCCTTTCTGGCTCCTTTTCTCCTGTTCCTTCTGAGAGGCCTGTAGTATCATACATCAAAATTCCCAATAGAAATGGAGTCTGTTGACAGATTCTTCGGGCTCTGTTTTCACACACTTGTTTTTTGGCATTAACCCGTCAAACAACTGTGAAATGGCTACATTTTTCAAACATTTGTTACTGTTCCATAGTCTCTTGATCATCTGACAAGAGTAGGGCTTTATGTGTAATATAAATGTTCTTTTGAAATGTGGCTCTTTTCAAATCTTTATTATTTTTTAATTGTATGATCAAAATAATATAGATTTGGAATTAAGGCTAAAGATAAACTGGTGCTGGCCCCAGCGCTGTGAAAGAGGAATAGTTAGCAAATTATTTTGTTGGTTTCTGCTTATATTAATGTAAAGGATAATAACTTTTAAATTTAATAATACCCTAAACCTTGAAATTAACAGTTCATGAAAGTTTTCACTGAATTTGATAAATACCTCCAAAATTTCTGAAATACCGACATTTGCAGAAATTAAAAAAATAGTCTCGTTTACTTACAGATACTAATAACTTGAAATGAAGATCTAGTGGTTTACTCAAAATATGCCATATGATTAGATTTGATACAGTAAAACTTGAAGCAGGATTCTAGCGAGTTCATTTGTTCCTTGTTCTTCTGTTTGTTTTTTATCTTTGTGGCTCAAACACTCTTACTCTGTGAGATAAATATAAGAAAGTTGCATAATACTGTTAAGTAGGCATGCTTAATAGAATAACATGGATTGGCTCCATTTTTTTTTCCCTAAAGTGGTGGGTGTTTTTGTTTGTTTGTTTTGCAGGGGGAGATTGGCCCTAAGCTAACATATGTTGCCAATCTTCCTCTTTTTTTTTTTTTTTTTTTACTCTCCCCCTTCCCCCACAAGCCCCAGTACATAGTCGTGTATAGTTGTAAGTTCTTCTGGTTCTGCTATGTGAGCCGCTGCCAGAGCATGGCTACTGACAGATGAGCGGTGTGGTTCCACGCCCAGGAACCAAACTGGGCCACCAAAGTGGAGCACATCGAGCTTTAACTACTCGGCCATCAGGGCTGGCTCTTGGCTCCATTTTTTATATGAAGTATATACTCACGGTATCTCTAAATTCTTGAATATTTCATGTTAGAATTTCTCAAAGACTTCATGAACAGCTTGTGATTAGAATTTATTTTATTGTTTGTCCTGATTCTTGGCGCCACGGAAGTCATTGCTAATTTTCTAGGAAACTGTGCTTTACCACTTTTTTTGGGGTGGTTTAGTGTTGGATATTAAATTTGGATCCTTCCTAAGAAACTCTGATGACTAATACTTTCAGTGCTGTTCTTGGCCTGAAGAAAACTTAAGGAAATCCACTTTTTCATGAATTAAGACTCTAGGAAAATAATGGCACATTTTTTGAGTAGAGTATCTGTATTCTGTTTCATACTTTTGGCTTCCAGAATCCAAAGTGATGTCTTTATTTATGATTTCGTTTTCTGTTTGGATCCTGGCTTCCTTGCTCTTGGCTATTTCCTTTATTCCTTCATAGTTGCAGATTTCCTTAGATATTTTCCTCTGTGGATATCTAACACCCAATTTGTGTTGTAGAGGAATTAATGCTTCCCCAGCATTTTTACAGTTATGTAATATTTATATAATATTTTAAATATATATATTATATTTGAATATATATATTATATATTTATTTAATATTATATATAATATTATAATTATATATATTATAATATATATTTAAAATACATATAATATTTATATATATTTTCTGTTAACAAAAGTATGCTTACCTTATAAGTACTGTTTTTAACACGTATGCATCTTGCTTTGAGTGAGTTTAATTTGTAGCTTCAGATTTCAGAATCAGAATCAATTGACTGCTCTTTTCGTTTTGGGGTGAGAGACTTGCCCTGCCCCAGGTCTCACAGCAGGGCCAGATTGGGGCCTCTGCTGGTATCTGGTTAGACATTCATCTCACCAGAGCCTGCAGCCTGCTTTGCTATGAAATCTTGGATGGTAGTCATCTAAACTTTCTCAGATTGCAAAGGTATTGTAAGGGATTCTCAGTTAAAGAGAAAAGGAGGTGGTATTGAAATACTTTGTTTCATATTAGAACATGTGGCCAGTTATTGGGTTGAAGTTGATTTGACTTTATTTTGAAGTAAAGGGTAGAAGAAGAAATACACTTATGAATGAAATCATTTGAAAGAAAAATGGAAAAATCATGTTTTCAGATGAGGTTCCTACCAGCACCAACCTTTGCAATATGATTCATCTACCGCTCGTTCTTCAGCTGCAGGCACCGTTCGCTGGGGGCAGGTGGGCATTTACTGTAGGAGAAGGACCTGCCCTGTGTGTTTTAGTGGTGACCCTTTATATTTACATCTGTTTTGGTTTTATCTTTATAACAGTCAAGCAGGGTAGAAGGTGGTATTTTCGTTTTATAAATAAGGAAACTGAAGCTCAGGTAGCTTAAGAGACTTAACTTTGAACATAAAACTAGTGGCTGAGTCATGGCCAGAACTCAAGTCCTTACCCCTCTCTCTCCCTCCCTTAACTTTTTAAAAATTGTAGTAAAATATACATAATGTAAAAGTTATGATTTTAAATTATAAAGCTCAGTGGCATTAAGTACATTCACATTGTCGTACAACCATCACCATCATCCATTTCCAAACTTTCTCATCATCCCAAACAGACATCTGTACCCATTAAACAGTGATTACCCATACTCTCTCCCCCTAGCCCCTGGTAACTACCATTCTACTTTTTGTCTCTATGAATTTGACAACTCTAGTTTCCTCAAACAAGTAGAATCATACAATATTCGTCTTTTTGTGACTGGCTTATTTCACTTAGCATAATGTCTTCAGGGTTCATCCATGTTGTGGCATGTATGAGAATTTCATTCCTTTTTTTCTCCATCTTAACCATTTTTGAGTGTACAGTTCAGTAAAGTATGTTCACATCGTTGTGCAACAAATTATTCCTTTTCAAGGCTGAATGGTATTCTGCTGTATATACCACATTTTGTTTATCCAGTCATCCGTCCATGGACATTTGGGTTGTTTCTGCCTTTTGGTTTTTATTAATAATGCTGTTATGAATAATGGTGTGCCCCCCCTTCTTTTCCTTGACCTTTTTTAAAGACTGTTTGTAGAACTCGTAATATAAGTGCATTTTCACCTGTAAATGAAATAAATTTCTAGAGCATCGTGGATGTCCAAAACAATCCTAAGTCTAAATCTCATTAAATCAAATGTGATTGATTGGTGTAGAAAAGAGATTTAACTGTGGGGAACATGAATGGACATAATTAGCTAGAAATTGAATCATTTTTATTTGTTCAAGGGAATAACCAGCAAGTGCCTGTGAAGAATGAAGTACACAATTGTGAAACTTTAAAAAAGGTTGATACAAAGTCTTCTTCAGAAAAGAAGATTCACAAAGCATCTAAAGAAGACATATGTCCTGAGAAACAGGACATACCATCAGTCGAGGTCTGTATTCCTTTTTTTCTTGCCTATTAGAAAGAACAAAACCCATATTTAGGGCTTAGAGTGCAGATATCTGTGTAATAACTGTACATGTATATTTCATAGTTTTCAAAGGGGATAGTTATCATGCATTTGAATCCACATTGATAATTGGTTTGATGTGTTCAGAAGTTTTATTTACCTTCTAATTATACTAATTATATAACAAAATAATTTTTAGTGATATCACCTAGCTTTTACTTTTGTTCTTGAGCAAATGGGTTAACTCCTGGGTAGATGTAGAGTCAAACCAGATCCCGTATACTTTGTCTCCAGTTGTCACCCAACATCCATTTTTAGGGCGTAATCTTGCTGAGTTAGAAACATAAGCCAAAATCCACAGGAGGAGAAGGATGCCTTTCTAGCCTAGGTGCATGGGCCCTAGCACAGTGGAATCCCAGAAGAGAGAGCAAAGCTTGCGTACTGTCCCGGCTAGCTCTTGCTCTTTCCACCGGTGCAGGCTACTGAAAAGTGTCTAGAAAGCAGAACCCAGCCCTGTATCTCATAGGGGAAAACAAACAGGTCCCAGATAAAGGTGGGAGAGGTATTTAGGAGAATTTACCTACTTTACATCAGAGCAGAGCTACCTGTGTATTAGCACAAGCACAGTGAAAAAAATAGCATTCCAACTATGCAGACATACTCTAGTGAAACTGAATAAAAGGAGTGGAACATACAGAAGACAGATGAAGATCCCTGTCTAGAAGAAAATACATCCAGAGCCTTGTTCACACTGTAGACTATGAATTCCATAAAAGAAGAGCTTTTAAAGGCAAATTAATACACTGGCATAAAATTAAAAGAGGTATTATAAAGCTAAGTAAATAAATGAACACATTACATATACAGTGGCTGAAAATTGAAGTATTGACCTAAAGGAAAGGCTTTGAGATAATCAGAATGAATGTGAAGTAAAAAATTGAAGAGATTAAAGCATTTAGGAAAATGATGATGATAGATACAGGGACAAAGAAAGACAAAAACCGTTCAACATAAGAATACTGATTGTCTAAGTAAATGGACCAACAAATGGATCAGAAAAGTATTCAGAGATGTTATAGAAGAAAATTTTCCTGATATGAGGGAAGAACTGAATTTATACATCAGAAGGGTACACTGTGTACACCAGGAAAAACTGATACATGATGATGGACGTAGGCACATCCTGGTTATATTATTGAACTTAAAGCATAAAGAATTGTGCAGACAAAGGTAGGAAAATAAAGAGACACAAATTTAGGCTTGCCTGAGACTTCATAGCAGCATCTAATGCAAGAAAACAGTGGAGCAGTATCATTGAGAGAATGAAAATGGGAACAAGAATATCATGTTTAGTCAAGCTGACCCTCAAGTACAAAGGCGACAGGCAGGCATCCTTAAACACAAATGAATTCAGGAGCCTTTCTTGAAAAAGGAAGTTAATGAAATTGAGCCAGCCAAGATAGAAGTAAAAATAAAAACCAAGGGTTGAAGAAGCCACATTAAAGGTCTGTTGTTGAGATTTCTATCCATTTTATATCCAGATCTGAGACTAAACAGTTGGCAATTACAATTGCAGAACAGATTGCGAATATTAAAACTTTAACAAAGCGAAAATAGTAATTGACAAAATGGGAGGTGGTATGATTGAAAGGTAGGTGAAAATAAGTTTTATCTTTCTTGGTAAAGAGTCAATACTATATAAAACTGAAACATGTAGTTTAAAAGGGAGAAAACTTACAAAAACATCCTTCACCATTTTTTTCTTAACCTTAGAGAGATCCTTAAGGAATTAATATATCCCGTGGAGAAGAAAGAGTTATTTGAAAGTAGGCAGTACCTTTGGTTTTACTTCAGTTTCTTCTTGTATTAAGTTCAAATAAAATTGAGCCTTAAATTTTTGTTTAGAAATAATACATGGTTATGGTGTTATAAATTTTTCCCATCATCTGTCCTGCCCTCCTTACGTGTGTGTAGGCTCACAGAGAGTGAAGAATAAGGTTTGCCAAATAATCAGTGGGAGGAGACCCTGGTTATTTTGGAGTGGTGGGATTTTGGATGATTTCTTTTTTCCTTCTTTTATACTCCTCTATTTTTGCTTAAACTTTATAACAAACATGAATTTTTCATTAAAATAAAATGAAAGTGATACAAAATAAGTATATCATAGACATGCTAAACTAGGAATTTGCAGTCTATTGGGAAAGACAAGGTATTCATAGACAAGTGCCAAAAATCAATACACAGTAGAGGAGATTTCAGAGATTGAGAAGTCAGTTTAGCCTGCAGTGGCCAAGGAAAGCTCTTAGAGGAGACAGAAGCTTGTGCAGGTGGAGTGTGGACAGAGGTGGGCAAGTGGGCAGTGGCCCCACTGAGCCTCATGGCATAATTGGGAGCAGTAAAGGAATCATCTGACTGAGAAGAGGCTCAGTCAGAAATAGAGGGGAAGAATCAAGAGTCCCACCAGGTTGTGGAGGCCCTGGCATGCCAATTGAGAGTTTAGACTGTATCCCCCAGGTCTCAATTGGAAACACAAATGAAGAAGGTGAGCATAAGCAGTAGGAAGTGATGACGCCTGTAGAGAACTGGAGAATGGTTACCAGCCACGGGATTTCAGAATCAAATTTTTAAAAGCGCATTTGTCCAAACAAAAAGTCTTTTTGGAGGACTTTGCCTGAGGGTGGCCAGTTTGGGGGACTCTGCTGCAAATTGTGGAGAGCTGTTGAAAGTTTCTGTCGACCTTAAAATGCTGCTAATTATTTTACCAGCAAAACGAGTTTATTCGGGAATAGCCAAAGAATTGCAGTTCAGGATGTGCATGCTATGGTGGATCATAGGCAAATCCAACAAACAAGGGAGAGGAATGTTATTTTATAAAGAAAAAGGAGGACACTGGGAGGGGCTGTTTTGAACGAAAGTCTGTTGGAGAAAAGCAGGAGTTTGGGGTGGTGATGGGTCCTCATTGGCTGAGTTGCTGGGGTAGTCAATATCTGTTTGGGATGCAATGTACATTTCTTCCTTGATTATTGATTCTTTCCTTTTGGGCACTTTTTCCTGTTGGGGTCTCTAATTGACTATCTTTTCTGTAGTTGACCTCAAGAGGTACTGCTGGGAGCTCCCCCTTCTGGCCTCCTGAGTCCATTTTAAATAAGGTTTCCCTTTATTAATTTTCTCATTTCTGAACTAGGGGCTGGATGGAGGGTAAATAGCAAATTGAAAACAACCTTAGGCTGTGATCTTCTTGAAGGTAATAATTGGATATTTTTCAATTCAGTTTCATAAAGACGGGCAGAATGTCTATTATAAAGAACTAGTGTAGTTTTTTAGCAAATGATTGAATGAATATGTGAATAATGCATTTTTGGAGGATTAGTCTGAATGTTTTGGAGCCTGGGTATTGGAGAGGGCAGAAAGGGATACCAGCTCTCTTCTAACAAGGAGGCTGTTACTCTGCTAGGAGGTGTGATGTAATCAAGACTGTGTTTGGGCAGGAACAGAGGTAAAGGATAGGGAGAGTAGATAAGAGAGAGTTTAGAAGAAAAACCAATGCACTAATTGCATAAAGGAGAGGAGCTATCTTTTCTTAACGTAGCCATTTGCAAAAATAACTCCAAAGTTTTAAGTCTGGGTGACTAGAAGACGGGAAATTCTGATAGATGTGATGAGTTCGTTTCTGTCAGAGCAATGTTGCATAGTGGTTAAGAGCACAGACTTTGCAGCTAGAATTCCTGGGTTTAAATCCAGCTCGTCACTTAATCGCTCCATAACATTGGGCAAGCTACTTAACATCACAGTTTCCTCATCTGAAAATGAGGATAATAATAGTATACCTACCCGTTAGGGTTGTGAGGATTAGATGAGTTAATTATGACAAGTGCTTAGAATAGCAGCCCTTAGGAAGTACTGACAAGTAGTCAGTACCCAGGAAATGACAGTATGACCATAATCATTACCAATAGAGAGGGGTGGCTGGACGCTGACGTGAGAGAGTGTAGTAGACAGTGAGAGATAATGGAACCAGAGCCTCTGCGGCAACCAGGCCTGGAGCTTCAGATTTGAAAGTTGTCTCTGTGGAGGTTAGAATTGAAGGGTGATACCGAGTTCTCTGAGGTGTGTACAGCGAGAAGACCAGGGACCTGAGTCTGAACCTTGCGCAGTGTTGAAGTTGTGGATGGCTTGAGGATGCAGGTATGGCACATCTACAGGAAGCTAAGCCAAAAGATGAAGACAGGGCATTCCTTCAGGAGCAGACATAAAGTCATTGAACTTGAGATAGGAGGGAATGGATGAGGTTAAGGGTTGAACCTTAACAGCCTTCTGATATGGGCTTTGGAGACTGCCGTGTGCCCTGTACTGTAATTAGAAACAGACCCTGAGATGTGCTGACTTGACAGCCCCACAACCTCGTGTGCTGGGAGGAGCAATTGGAACTAATCACTCCAAGCCCCTCAGTCTAAGGGTCATGAGGAGGTGGCCCCGAGGAACAGTGCCACATGGGTGCTACTGCTGACACCCATCTGCCACATGGTGTGTGAGGGCCATTCCCCCATCTCAGACTCTGCCCCCAGCCCCGAGGTCTTCCTTGGCTCCCATGCCAGACTTAGCCCTCTATACTTGTGACCTTGGTTATGGCAGTTTTCTTAATTTATTCAAATTATGTTCTTTTCTGTGTGTGTTCACCGTTCGATTTTTGAAGGCGCAGGCCTTGTCTTTTATCTCTGTCCTTGGAGCTCAGACATTTCTTGTACTTGGTCCCAGTGGTTGTGTAAGTTCCTTCTTCCTTTTCTGGTCTGGGAGCCTGTGTAGGACAGACATCTCCACGTGATGGTGGCAGCCAGCTCGACAGTAAGGATGCGAGTCCGAGGATTTGGGGGACTCAGGCTGTGCTTTGTGGTCCAAGGTTGTCCTCGTAGTCAAGGTGGATTTTCTGGTGCAGACTGAGGGGCTGTAGTCTGTCATTTCTTTGCTGTCTCTGTGACTCACTCCCAGTTTTGTAGACCTCTTCTTCAAAAGCCCATGAGTGCACTTTCCATTTCATTGTTCATTTGGAGAAAATCATTCTCAATAAACACATTTCCAAGTGCAGTACTAAAATGTTTGTTTTTCTTGTACATTCTTAAGGCCTAACTTTGCAGCTTAGAAAATTGTATAAATCTGTCTATAGTACATGGGGAACATTCCTCTAGATTTATTGGCAAAGAAGGTTGAAGCCCAGATTTGGAAGCCACAGACTAAATTTTAACCCTAGCCCTGGCTGTTTATTTTCTTTCAAGCCGATTTTTTTTCCCTTAGAAAAGGAATTCATGATTTTTCTAGAAGCATAAAGAAGAGGGGAAAAGATCTATCCAAAGTGAACCACTTTTCATGTTTTTCTGTATTGTTTCTTTGCTATGCAAAGTTTTTAAAAACTAAGGATTATTATCATTGTGTATTTGTAGCTTTGTTATAATGTTATAATTCTAAATTTTCTCAGGTTGGAAATTAATGGGGAACTTTGTTTTCAGTTGGTTACATAACATTCCATCATTTAACTGTCATAATCTAAACCATTCCTCTGCAGTTGGACATTAAAGTTGTTTGCAACTTTTTATTTTCATAAATAATACTATGATGAACTATTTTGTTCTTAAGTCTTGCCTGTATACCTGATATATCCTTATCATAGATTTCTAGAAATAGAATGAAAGAGTATCAACTGTCTAAGGCTCCTTATGTGTGCTGCCAGATGGCTTTCCAGAAAGGTGGTACCAATTTACATTCACATACACGGTGTGTGAGAACACTGGTTTTCCTCTGGTCTCAGCGGCACCTTTTTTTTTTTTTTTTTTTAACAAAATCTTAGTGTGATAGGCGAAAGACTGTGTTTTGTTTTTCATTTCAATTTGCATCTCTTACTAGAGAAAGGTGAGCATTTTCCTTCGTTTCATTTTTTGTAAAATTCTGAAAAACACAAGTAAAAAATCATCCATCCAAAATCCTACCACTGACATTTTTTTAATACATTTTTTTAATAAATTAAGAAGTAAATGTCTAACCCAGTTTCACTTCTACTGCTCAGAGGCAGACACTATACACAGTACATACAGTGTAAACACACTTGTGTTTTTTGAAACCAAAGTGGAAAGATGAGATACAATTTGGTCTGTAATTTGCCTTTCCTAAAAACATACTTTGTTATTAAATATTTCAGATGAACTCTTCATGTTTTTTGGCCTTTTATATATCTGTTGTGAATTTGCATTTCATGTCCTTTGCCCACTTTTCTATTGAATGTTAGTGTTTCTTCTTATTTTCTAAAGAACATATGTAAAAGTATTAACTCTTTGTCTATCAAGTAGTGTATCAGCTTTTTTTCTTAGTTTGCCCATTCCCGCTTATTTGTATTTGCTTTTACTTATATACAGTGGCTTTAGGACTGCCTTTGTGCAGTCAATCTGTGATTTCTCTTCTTTGCTTTCTTCCTGGTTCTCTGGTTTGATTTCTCCTCTCTGTTCCATCTGCTGTCTCCACTGCAGGCCTGTTCTGCCTCAGCCCGACTCCGGCCAAATTCCTCTCCCTGCCCATTGCTTCATGGTGCACACACACGTACTCACACGCCCTCACACACGCCCTGCCAAAGAAAAAGGCCATTCATTAGTTTTTTTTTCCCACAATAAGTCTTCTATCTTTTCACTCTCTTGTCCATACCCTCTTCTTGTCCATACCTTGCTCTGTTTGCTCATGGACACTGCTTCTCAGTCATTCCACTCACACCCCTGAGTCCAGCATGGCCAGCACTCTCCTTTTCTTCCTGTTGTTCAGAGAAGGCGATGCTTCTGACCACCAAGTCCCACCTCTTTGTAGTCCTAAAATATGTCCCCACTTGTTTGCACATAATGGCAGTTCTAACCAGACTGATTTGAGAAAGACAGCCGAGTGTCCGAGTGACTACTCACCAGCCCCTCTTTCTCTCACTCCACTTAGAGATGGATCCTTTATTTGTTCTGGAGGGAGAGAAAGGCCCAAGCACTTGCTGCGTTGAAAAGCCTTCGTTGGCTTTTGAGTCGACAGGGTGGGACAGAGGAGGGGAGAACTTTCCCCGCCAAAAGTTGGAAATACACCAGGAACACTACATGAATAAATATGGTATATATCTAATATTTAACATGGGATCTGGGCCGGCCCCGTGGCTTGGCGGTTGGGTGTGCACGCTCTGCTGCTGGCGGCCCAGGTTCGGATCCTGGGCACGCACCGACGCACCGCTTCTCCAGCCATGCTGAGGTCGCATCCCACATGCAGCAACTAGAAGGATGTGCAACTGTGACATACAACTATCTATTGGGGCTTTGGGGAAAAAAAAAAGGAGGAGGATTGGCAATAAATGTTAGCTCAGAGCCAGTCTTCCTCCCCAAAAAAGAGGAGGATTAGCATGGATGTTAGCTCAGGGCTGATCTTCCTCACACACACAAAAAAAAGATATTAACATGGGATCATATGTCTGATCATATGTCTTCAATGTGTTTGTTTAGCGTCAAACATAAGCAATTAGCATTAAGGTCCTGTTAAGGTTAGGGCTTTGTGTGTTTAACTTGTCATATTTTTAAAATACCTTCAGAATCAGAAAAAAGTTAATACATACTTATTAGGGGAAAAAATAAAGGAGTATAAAGAAGAAAGCAAAAATCCCATAATCCCACCACATTTACAGTTAGAATTTCATTTTATTTCTAGTGTGTGTTTGTTGTAGTAAGCATATTGCTTTAATCAGTACGAGAGGCTTTCAATACCCTAGACATGAAATGTGCAGGCTCCTAAACCTTTTATGTTTCTTCTTCCAAGTCATGTGGGTGTTAGTCAAGTGTATGTTATAATCTCATGGATTCCTACTCTGATTTTTGGACCAACCTTCTGAAAAAGGAAGGTATAATGAGCCGATCTTTGCTCTTTGTGAAATGTGAATCCAGAAGGGGACTCTCTGAACTGGGAGATTTGTCTCTCTGAGGTCCGTGGAGAGGCATTTTCCTCCTGAAAGGAACCAACACCCTTAAGAGAGGTGTTTTTCAAGCCCTGGGGTCTCAGTGTGTGAGCTCACACCACCTCCCACGGTGCCTCTGCTTTCTGGGGGCTGCGTGGTGGAAGGAGGAGAAAGAGTAAGTATTAGGAGACTTTAAAGACATGAGCTACTTGAAAATTTTCAAGGGCAGAGGAATACACCTCCCCTTGGACCTGTTACTAGGCTATGCCTAACATTTAAAAGAGGAAAAAGCCCAGTTAAGAAAACTTTATGTGTGTGTGTGTGTATATATATATATATATATAAAATATATGTAATTTATACATATAATATATATGTATCTCATGCTAAATTAAGTTTTTCAGAGCCACATTTGAAAAATATCAAGCATATACTTGCCTTATTTACTCAAAAAGCTTAAACTAGTTTGGAGCATTCTGTGAAGACTTGACTATTCTCCTAAAGTTCCTCTGTAAACAAATAAGAACATAAATACATGAATTAGTCCTAAGTTGAGTTTCTGCCTGACTGTTCTTCAGTAGTAATTCATGTGAATTGCGCATACCAAATTAGCAGGTGAAGGCTGGAGGATTTATTGCTGCTGAAGTGAACAGCAAGCAGACCAAAAATTGCTAACAGATGTTTTTCCTTTTAGCATCTTAGGAATTTATAGGCCACAATTTTTTTTCTCTTTTTGCAGAGAGATTGAGGGAGGTAGAGAAGGAAGGGAAACGAAAACAAACGAGAGATTGAGAAATGCATGTCTCAGTTTTCACCAGTGCTGGAACGTTCTGAATTCAGATGGAGTTGGTCTTCAAAAGTTAAAAAAAAAAAAATCAGAGAGGCTTTTTTATCCATATTTAGTCAGTTTAAACCTTTACTAAAAGTTATCTTTTTTTTCTGTAGCAAGAAGATGCTTATAGAAAGAAGAAGCTTCAGGAGAAAAAAGAAGGAAATTTACAAAATTTAAATTGGAATAAAAATCGAACATGTAGAAAAAACAAGAAAAGGGGTGTTGCTCAGGTCTTAAGGTGTGTATTTTTACAAACCTTTTAAAATTTTGATCTGTTTTTTACTCTATAATTTTACATTTAGCTATTATCCTTTAATCTTATTTGTGTTATGTTAGATATAGATAATAAGATAGTGTAGATGTTTATATTTTGAGATAAAAGTATGTTTCTAAAATTAACATATTTTTTGGTTATGTTTTTATTTATTTTGTTAAAAATACCTAAAGTGAGGGGCCGGCCCGGTGGCGTAGTGGTTAAGTTTGCACGCTCTGCTTTGGTGGCCCGGGGTTCCCAGGTTCATATCCCGGGTGTGGACCTGCGCACCACTTATCAAGCCATGCTGAGGCGGCATCCCACATATAAAATAGAGGAAGATGGGCGTGGATGTTAGTGCAGGGCCAGTCTTCCTCAGCAAAAAGAGGAGGATTGGCAACGGATGTTAGCTCAGGGCTAACCTTCCTCACGCACAAACAAAAAAATGCCTAAAGTGAACACATTTTCAAAATTTTACTTTATGAAATGCTAAAAGCGATGGGAGGTTTCAAGGAAAAGCGTTAAGACATCCCTCCATGCCAAGACCTTCATTCTGGCTGTGAAATACAAGAGCATTGCAGAGCAATCCAGGAAACCCCACAGGGCACAGGCAGGCATCCTGTTCCCAGCTTGACCCTGACCCGTCTGGGCTATCCGGGGTCCTAATAGCGAAAGAGCATAGTCACCACACATAGAGCCCTTGGTTCAGTCCTGCAGAAGGTGGATTCTTAGAGCTGCGGGAAGTGAGGTGCCCAGGGATCACGGTTCGCTTCAAACCCCAGAGTTGGTGAGGGGCAGAGCCAGATTGGAAGCCTGGCAGTTTGGCACTTTCCTTTGGAAACCTTGCTTCCGTGAGACCCTAATCTCCCCGCACTTTCATTTTCTTATCTGTAAAATGAAGGAGCTGGACAGGGCTTAGGAACTGGACAGGGTTTATGTGGAAATCTCATATTTTTGGGTTTCCAGAGATATCTCTCTATATCTAATTTTGTGTAAATTCCTCAGCCTGAGTTTTTTCCTACCAGGTCAGTAGTGTGTACCTTCTGACTCCAAATCTACCCTGTGGTACAGTCTCTGAGTTTTGATTTCTTAGGTTAGATTTTCAGCACCCCCTCCCCCCACAAGGTGCCGAGGGCCTCCAGCAGAGACGCTCTCCCCTGCCTTTTCCTCACTGCGTCTGTGGACGGAGCTTTTCCGGTGTCCCTTGCACTGATGACGCCCTCCTTCCAGGGCCGCAGTTTTATTTAGGAGACTCGGTCTCAGCTCCCTGATTCCTGTCCTTGAGTCGGCTTTAAAGCCTGTGTCCTTCTGAGTAACCCCTCCGTCCTCACCACTCTGGCTTTTTCTTTTGAGTTCTGGCACCTGGGGATTTCTCTGTCTTGTGAGCTCAGCTGGGTATTTAAATGTGTTTCTGTCCCGTTGTTCTGTAGCAGCTTCAAATCTGTGTGGGGAAAGGGTTCCACCTTGCTGCAGTTCTGCTTGTTGTTGGGAGGCAACCCTGGCAGAAGAGCCTGCATTGTGGCAAGGATGGCTGGATGGGAGGCAGCCTGGCGCTGCTCTCACTGTCTGTTCCGGGTCCCTGAGGCTGCAGCGGGAGCTGGACCCTGTGATTCAGCGCTATAACACACTCCCAGCAGTTCTGCTGTGCACTCTGCTGCAGACCAGTCAGGCCACTCCAGGGTGTCTCCGAGCTGTAGTTCTGTCCCCTGCACTCAGCAAAATGCAAATATGAAAAAAGAAATATACCCATGATTAGATTATTGTTAATACTACATAGTAATTATTGATTGGTTTAGGGTAAATTATTTGAAAGCTGCGATGCGGTATCCTGTAGAAAGGCAAGTCACACCTTGTATTCTTTTATATGCATTTTCTTTTATATGTATTTTTTATGTATTCTTTTATATGTATTTTCATAAAAATTTGATTGATTTATGTGGTCACTTTAAAGTATTATATTTTCCTGATATGAACATACAGAAAGATATAAAAGTAGAGTGGAATTTTGCCAATTAAATGTTTTAATGTATTTTTAAAAGACATTTTTTTCTGACATTGCTAAAGAAACAAATTTAAATTGTTAAAAAACAACTTTCAGGGGCCGGCGCGGTGGCGCAAGTGGTTAAGTGCGCGCGCTCCGCTCTGGCGGCCCGGGGTTCGCTGGTTCGGATCCCAGGCGCGCACCGACGCACTGCTTGGCAAGCCATGCTGTGGCGGCGTCCCATATAAAGTGGAGGAAGGTGGGCACAGATGTTAGCCCAGGGCCGTCTTCCTCAGCAAAAAAAAAAAAAGAGGAGGATTGGCGGATGTTAGCACAGGGCTGATCTCCTCACAAAAACAAAAACAAAAACACAACTTTCAAGTAGCTTGTAGCTAATCAGAATGTTTTGGGAACATGATGCTTAAGTAGGTGGTGGTGTAGGATTGTCTGTTGCCTTGGCTCTCACTTCTGTCTGTATATTCTTCACCTTGAGCGATCATCTTACCTGCCATCCTACAAACTTAACAGAGGTACTGAAATTGGGCTGTGTGAAATAATCGTCTAGGTATTCCCATCACATTCTCTACACATTTCTATATCGCCATTTACAAAATCGTATTACGGTCCTTCCCTCAAGGGGTTCATGGACTAGTTAGACAGATGTTATTATTGGGCTGTGATGTCTTTAGGGGAAGAACTTGATTCTTCTTTGTAGATGCCGCCCCTTTCCTAACAATATGTGGCACATGGTAGTGACTCAACAAGTGTTTGCTAAATGAATGAATGAGAAAGATTTTAATTAACAGTCAGTACCTTCCCCCAGACACCAAGGAGCCGGTTCAGCTATTGAGAACCATATTTGACACTAAAACTGAGGAAGACAAGCCAAGAGTCGTGGGTTCTCATCCTGGACTTGCCCCTTACAACTGACCTTGAGTAACTCCTTTAACCTTGTGGAGTTTTATTCCTCTCAATGTAAAATATGAAAAGAGATTAAATGAGCTCCAACTTAATTATGGTTCTAAAATGGCAAAATCTTTTTCTTTTTTGACATCTCTCCCTCACTCTTAATCTTCTCCCACCAGACCCAAAGAGAAGAGATCTCAAGTTATCTCAGATTCATATTTTCACCTCTAATAAGTCTCCTGGAAAGCACGTATGTATGTATGCACGATAAAATGTGAATGTGATTTTTTTGTGGCTCTTCCAGGCCTTCTGAACAGAGTGAATTAAAGCTTGTGTGCAGTGAATTTGAAAGGTCTGAGCTGAGCAGTGACATGGATGTTAGAAACTGGTGTATACAGGAAAACCCTGGGGAAATGTGTAAAACAGACGCTGGCATTGGAAGCAGCTTACCTGCTGCACAGGGAGAGGCAGGTACGTAACCACGGTGAGCTGTGAGTGGTGCTTCTGTTGGAATTTTTGTTTCCTCCAGGAAGTATCCAGTGTGAGAGAGATGGCATCTTGATGAGAGTATCACTGTACAGACAACTTAGCTTACTGAAGCCCGAACAGAAAGCTGTCAGGATGAGACCAGAAAGCTAAGATTCTTCTGAGCCTAGGCAGGCCTCTGGTGTTGCCCCCTCCTATCTCCCACCTCCCCCAAAATCTGGCTGTTCTCAACTATCCTCATGCAGATTGCTGAAGGAACAGTGGGTGTTTGCTCTAGGTAGGACTCCCTTGGTGAAAGAGGGGGTAGGGAAGAGCCAGGGGAGAACAGCGGCTGTTCTCACACACCTGAGCCAGGTAGTTCCAGCTGGAGGCAGTTGTCCCACCCAAGGACTGCTGGGCGATGTCCCAGGGAGTGAGAGGTAGAGGCACCCAATGCTAGGTCCAGGCTAGGGCGGAAGACAGTGGGAGGGAAAAGGGCCTCTGAAGTTGTCTGTACATGTAGCTACCGAGTGGGTGTAGTTGTAATCCTTCCAGCCGACACCCACATTCCTACACATGTGCCCACGTCAGCACACACAGGCCGGCAGAGTTAACAGATTTCTATCTCCGTCCACTTGTCCATTCCCTTGACACATGTGTTGCTTCTTGGTCTTATTGGAGGTTCTTCCTACCTACACATAAATAATACTTTGACGCTCTTAGTGGATATCTTAATAAAAGAGGGGGAGAAATGACCTACAAATCTCCAGTCCAGTAGAGTAGCCTCGATTTTCTTGAGAAATATTTGGTGTTTTCAAAACCATTTCTAGATCCAGGTTATCATTGGTATTGTCTAGCCCCAAACAAGTTTACTTGCCCATCCCATAGGCAGAGTAGTATAGGACGACAGAGCTCACCCCCAACTGTTTCTTAAGGTCCCATTGTTAGTTTCAGTTAGCTGCTTCTCTCGAGATGAGCGGAGGTAGCGGACCCTGAAGTTGAACCTCGCCCTCTTCATATTTCGCCTCTCTCCTTTTATTAGTAACGACATCAAGTTGAAAATGGTGAAACCTGACTTCTCTGCGAGGGGTCAACTCTTCTCTCTTCCTTCCTGCAGAGGGTTACTACCAGAAGCCGGGGAAGAAGTGTGTGGAGAAGTCATGCTCAGACTCCAGCTCGGACTGTGGCAGCTCCTCGGGCAGCGTGCGGGCCAGCCGGGGCAGCTGGGGCAGCTGGAGCAGCACCAGCTCCGACGGGGACAAGAAGCCCGTGGCAGGCGCTCCGCACTTTCTGCCAGCCGGTGAGTCCTGAGAATACACCGTGGCCCTCCTTTCTGCCCTCCCTGCGTACCCAGTATAAGACCTAGATCTGCCTCCCAGAGCCCGGAGCACAGAGAGGGCTGCGGATTTGAGTACTGACTTTGATTTGGATTTCATTTATTTCCTTTTTCTTTCCTCCTCCTTTCTCTTCATCATCATCATCATATTATTATTATTTTTGTTTTAGTGTCTATCTTTGAAACAGTTCAGAGCTTCCACATTTATTTTTTCGCTTGTACATTTTCTCATTGCAGTAGAATATACATAACACAAAATTTACTGTTTTAACCATTTTTTTTTTTTTGAGGAAGTTTGGCCCTACGCTAACATCTGTTGCCAGTCTGCCTCTTTTTCTTTTTTTTTTCCCCTCCCCAAGCCCCACCACATAGTTATATATCCTAGTTGTAGGTCCTTTTAGTTCTTCTATGTGGGACGCCGCCTCAGCATGGCTTGATGAGTGGTGAGTAGGTCTGCGCCCAGGATCCGAACCGGCGAACCCCGGGCCGCCGAAGCAGAGCACGTGAGCTTAACAGCTACACCACCGGCCTGGTGCCTCTTAACCGTTTTTAAGTGTATGGTTCAGTGACATTGAGTACATTTGTGTTGTTGTGCAAACAGTACTGCCATCCGTTTCCAGGACTTTTTCATCATCCCAAACAGAAACTCTGTATGTATTAAACAGTAGCTCTCCATTTCCCCTTCCTGCAGCCCCGGGAACAGGCCCTCTGTTCTACTGTCTGTTTCTATGAATTTGACTGCTCTAGTGTCTGAGATAAGTGGAATCACACAATATTTGTCCTCTTGTGACTGGCTTATTTCGCTTAGTATAGTGTTTTCAGGGTTCATCCATGTTGTAACATGTCAGGATTTCCTTCCTTTTTAAGGCTGAGTAATAATCCATTATAAGTATATGCTGCATTTTGCTCGTCCACTCATCTGTTGATAGACACTTGGGTTGTTTCCACCTTTTGGCTGTTGTAAATATGCTGCTAATGAACATTGGTCCTCTCTTACTTTTGAGAAATTTAAAGATACAAGAAAGATCAAAGAAGCATTTCTATTTCTATCACCTGGAATTAACAACTCTTAATTTTGTCATATTTGCCTTCAGGTTTTTTTTTTTTTAAGAAATAATACTTTATAGTCTGTTCCACTTCCCTCTCCTCGAGAGAATCACTGTCCACTGACATGAACTTGGCGTGTTTTATTTTAGTCCATATTGTGTTTTACATTCACATATTCATCAACAAAATATAGAATTGTTTTTAACTTACATAAAGGAAATCATACTTCAATGTAGCATTCTGTGTCTTGCTTTTTCCACTCAGCATTGTTTTTTATAGCTCCGTGTCTACATAAAGAGGTAATTCATTGCTTTTCACTGTTAAATTTAACACGGTAAACACTTCACCTTCGTATAAGGACAAGGCAGTGAGATGGGAAGTTCACCTTTGTGACGCTGTGCGCTCATCAGGCAGGCCCACTCTCTGCCCCAACGGCCGCGAGAGGGCAGGTGTCCCTGTGCCCCTCGGAGGTGTGAGGACCTGGGCTCAGAGCGGTTTGTGGCTTGTTCCACCAGTTTGCTCAGGATAGCTCAGACCTGAGCCCATGTCTCCTTCCCCAGAGCCCAGCACTCTTCCCTGTGCATCTCCCGCCTCCTTACGGGCCACTCTGTGATGTTCGTGAGCAGAGAGAATTCCTCTCAGCAGCCTCTCAGTTGTCCTCTTTTCTTTCTTCTACCGACAATGATACCTATAAAAAAAGGTCTTGTCTGAGAGACAAGGGCACTAATAACCATAAAAACCTAGACAGAGCACCCACATGTGACTTGAGTCCGTGTTTCTCAGCCTTTTTTTCATTATCGGCCCCTCCCTTGGGCACCTTTTAGACATTGTTTGCCTAATGACCCCCATAAAATTTCAATATCGCTGCTGCACACTGAGGATCTGTTTATTACTGTGGACTGTGACTTATACAGTCATGCATCGCTTAACCACGGGGAAACGTTCTGAGAAATGCGTCGTTAGGTGATTTTGTCCACTGTGCAAACATTGTAGAGTATATTTACACACACCTAGATGGTACAGCCTCCTACACACCCAGGTTATATGGTACTAATCTTATGGGACCACCGTCATATATGCGGTCCATCGTGGACCGAAATGTCGTTATGTGCCACCTGCCTGTACATAAATGATAAGATATTTTCAATTCCCAAGCAACAGACCTACCTCCTCTTGGGGACAGTATTGCCAGTGTTGAGAATGGACTTAGATGAAAGCAGGCGTGCGGCATTTTGTTTGATAACAGGAATGGTTTTCTTGCCCAGAGGAAGCTTGGTTTTCACAGTGTATACCCGGCACAGCCCCATCCACCACTGAAGGCAAAGTTTGCCTGATGATGCTAACACGAGATTTTTTAAAATGGGCACTTAACATTAACAAAAAACAGAAATGCAGCTTTGGCTTGAGGGGGAAGGCCAACAGTAGAAGAATGATAAAAACTATTGATGGCCTTGCTGTACAGCGGCAGAGTGTGCAGCCTTTAAGTTGTATTTGAAAGTTACATAATATCAGGAAAATGTCCCCAAAATAAATAATGGTATAAAGACAAAAAGGACAAAGTATATGAAAGTTGATCCCAATTTTATACATATACATATACATATATATGTACCTAAAGAGATATTGTAAGGAGATATACCTAAATGTTGATAATGGTAGTATGATTGCAGGTGACATATTTTTCTTCTTTAAACTTCTGCTTATTTTTATAGATTTCCTACCATGAACATATGTTACTTTTAATAAAAACTAGTCCATTTATATAGTTAAATTTCTTTTATCAGAAAAATCCCTCTTGAAAAGTTACATAATATTAATGGTTTAATCCTTTTCTCCATCATTAAAACATTAATCCAAAATTCATAAATTTAAATGATGTTTTATTAAGTTTTCAATGAGAAGATAAATTATAAAAGGCTTTTTAAGAGTTAAATTACTAAATGCGTGAATATTAGTTTAAAGTGAAAAGTATATCACTCGTTAGGGATTAATGATATTAACAATCTGTATTTTAATACAGAATGTATACAGTTGAATTGTGCTTATAAAACCTTACGATAAGTTTTTTGTTTTTGTGCAGGAGACAATGTTTCGCAAAATGCCTTTCCTTCAGAAACTCCCATCTCTTTGAACCTTTCGCATAACATCTGCAATCCCACGTAAGTTTTTAGTTTTCCAGTTTTTACAATATGTTCTATGTGCTTTTTTTTTTTTTCAGTGTTTCTTCTTTGTACTTGGTTCTGCAGGTTAAAATATGAAAATCTTTTAAGGATGCGAGAAAGTAAAATCTGGTTTTACTAATAATTCAGAAAGCAGGATCCTTCCAAGTAAACCTGGTTCATGTGGGAGTGTCTCTTGTATTGCTGGTTCTCTCAGTGATCCAGCCACATTAGAAAATACCTCGTTCCTGAAATTAGAAAGAAGGAACAGGAATTGTTATAAAGATGGGACTCATCTACCCTTTGCTAGGTCTTGAAATAAAACTGAGCACTGATGATTTAGAAAGTTTTGCAGGAACCTAGTAGATACGCGCACGATTACAATTCGGCTGTGTGATGATCAGACGAAATAAACGAGTTATCTTTTATTGAGTGAGAGAGGAGGAGGAGGAGGAGCAAGAAGGAGAGGGTTTCAGGGAGAGAAATGAATTAGGTTTCTTAGGCACCAGCTGCTTTGTGAGAGGACAACAGGAAGAAATTAAACTTAAATTGGTGAATTTATGAAGAAGGAAACTCAGCTGTGGGACAAGGAAAGCTCTATCTGAACTGTTTTTGTTAGGGGTAGAAAGTAACCTAGAGATTAAGAATGGCTGCTAGCTGGTGGTAGGCAGATTTGAAACCACAGATGATCTTAGTTGCCTTAGTGAAAAGTTTTGTTGTTTGTTAAAGGAAGACTTTGCTGGATCTTGGGAATTTAATATTCCTCAACCCTTTTCTGGCTGTGTACCTGTATGTCTCTAGTATCTATATGTTTCTTGGCGGAGGAATTCATGTAAAAAGTCAATCAGACTTGGTTAACAAATTCAGTATTTCCTTGTATAGAAAAAAATCAATAGATGCTCTTTTTCTTGATTTCCCCACAGAGTCGTGAATAACCTCCCACAATATGCAGAACCTCCCTGTCCCAGCCTTCCCGCCGGGCCTGCTGTGGAAGAAGATAAAGGTGAGGGCATTACTCTTGTTCTAAATACCAGCCAGATGTACCATGCTACATTGCTGGCCGGGGAGCTCGAGAAGATAAGCAGGTTGGGTGGCGCTGGGCCCTTTCCCCGGTGCCCTCTTTTCCAAGCGTGTCACTGGGCTTTCGTGCATTAGGAAGCCGCCTGCCCTCTGGACGGGCGTCCCTGGGAGCCTCTGACTTCGGCTGCCCCCTCTTCTGACACTGAGCTCCCTCCTTGTAGCCGAGGCACAGGTGCCCTTGGCCCCAGTACAGTGTAGGGCCCCTTTACAGCGGCTACCACTGGGTTCAGTTCACCTGGGCTGAGATGACAGGACGATAGAGAAGGCAGTGGTGAGGCCTGGTTGGAGAGTGTGCCAGAGGTGAGGGTCTGGCACCTTAGCCAATTTCCTCTTTCCCTCCCCTCTCCACTTCCTCCCCCACCTCCCCTTGTCCTCGAAGCCCATTGGCCCACCCTCAGCAGCCTGGTGTCAGCCTCCCTCCTGCACCAGGCCTGAGACCAGAGCTGAGCTCCTGCCAGGCGGGGGAGGACAGCGGCCCAGGAGTGTGGAAATGGGTGTGGGTCCGAAGGAAACCCACTCCCGCCTGGGGTCTCTCTGTGAGAGGTTAACTCCAGTCCTCCCGCATTTTTCCTCTCCATTTCTCCTCTGTACCTTTCTTTCCCTTGTCTTGTGTCTCCTGTTTTCTTCTAGTGCCTCCTTCCTACCTAATTAGGGTCAGGACTTGCAGCAAGATAAGCCTGATTTCACTGTCCACCAGCTCTAATACGCATCCTTGCTTTTGCTTATATAGATTATGCTGGATTTAAAGGCTACTCTACATGTTGGAGCAGTTTTACTTCAAAAGCATAAGGTTTCTGTGCTGTTCTTTGGTTACATTTTGGATTTGCTGTCAAATTATCAATGGAAATAAATTATTCTTGAATCGGATCCAATTACTAGTCCATTAAAATAAGTGTTTTCAATGAAAAAATCTTGTATTCAGTAATTTGCTGAGACCAGATTTGGGGGAGGTTTAGATGGTACTATGTTTTTTCTTTGAGGTAATAGAGGAGAGAGAGGATTTAATTAGTGGTGGGGAAAAATTGAAACTGTGTCAAAACAGATACACCTTAACATGTTCTTCTGTCTTTGTTTTTGTCAATTGGAGAATTATATGTCATCTGCTGTCTTGATGCGTGTTTCGTGCATGTGTCTCAAGAGCCTTTTACCTTGTCTGTGTCAATAATCTGCAGGTTCTTTTTGATCACCTGTTACAATCCTCGGTTAGGTCTTAAGTCACTAGAGAAACAGATCTTGTTCACAGTGACTGTCTGCAGAGCACTGGTCCCGTCCCCTTTGGGCTGTCCCTCCCCTCCCTTGTATGCATGCTGTCTGTCTTGCCCAGCTGCAGTTCCCTGATCCCTTGGTACCCTCACTTCCTTTCTCCCTTCACTGTATTCACCTCTAAAAACCACAGTCATGGTTTGGCCCGGTTCTTCAGCTTCTCTGCCTGTTCCTGTGCAGATGAGTGAGGCTGGAGAACGTGTGACACGCACACACACGCTGCCGGGCCGCTCTGTGAATTCACGACCACTAGCTTCACGTGGGCCCAACTGCTGCATTTCTCTGCTCCCTTCATCCTCCCACGCTCCTCCTCTGTGCCCACACTTCCAGTGCCTTCTGCCTCATTCTCTTAGTTGATCTTGCTTCCTGTTTTACTGGGAAAGAGAGAAGCATTTCAAGACCTTCAGAAAGCTCCCACTGCCCCATCTACCTGCTACCACTGTCTCTGCTCCCCTCCTGTTGCAACCTGTTGCATTGTCAGTGCAACTGTCCTCTCCAAGGACATTGTTTCAGCACACTTCCATCATCAATTTTTCTCTAATGGGTCATTCCCATCAGCATACAAATATACTGTAATACTTCCCATCTTTAAAAAAACAACAATAGGGCCAGCCACAGTGGCCTAGTGGTTAAGCAGCATGCTCTCCTTCAGCGGCCCAGGTTCGGTTCCCGGGCACGGACCTATACCACTTGTCTATCAGTGGCCATGCTGTGGCAGCATCCCACATACAAAATAGAGGAAGATTGGCATAGATGTTAGCTCAGGGTAAATCTTCCTCAGCAAAAAAAAAAAAAAAAAAAAAAACCCAACAACAGCCAAACCCTCTCTCTTGACCCACGTGTCTAGCTACTGCTCTGCTTCTCTCTTTGGGGTAACTCCTTAGAAGAGTTGTTGGTGCTTGCTGATGGAAATTCCTTTCCTCCTGTTCTCCCTTGAAACAGCTGTAATCTGGCTGTGCCCCACCACTCTCCTGAAACAGTGTCTGCAGGGGCACCGGTGACTTCCACTTCATGTCGTCCCATGCTCAGTTCTGTCTTTGGTCTCCATGTTGACCTATTTCAGACCCGAGGCGTTCAGTTCTGGCTGGTAAACCTTAGGGCTCCCAGTTCAGTTCCTCCTCCTCTCCCTCTCCTCTCAAGCTGCCGGAGCACTGTCCTGGTGAAGCCAGGCCTTGTGCTTGTCTCTGCACACCCCCTTAGTAGTCGTCCCCACCTGTGAAGCTTAAGTCTCACCCGTACCCTGACACTCCCACATTTGTATCTTCAGCCTGGGCCTCTCTCCTGAACTCCAGTATCTTATAGCCAACTGCCATTTGACATCTTTTTACTTGGGGATGCAAGAGGTGTCCCAAACTGAGTGCTCAGTCTTCTCCTTCAGACCTGCTCCTCGTGCCGTCTTCCCATCTAGTCTTTGTTGCTGCTCAGGCCAAAAATCTAGGTGTCATCCTTGACTTTTTTTTTCTTGTCTCCCACATGTGATCTGTTGTCTTACTTTATTAGCCTTCTTTATACCTTCCAAATATATCCAGAATCTGATAACTTCTCCCCACCTCCACCATAATTACCCTGGTCCAGGCCATCATTACTTCTCCCTTGGGTTATCACAATAACTTCCTAACAGGTTTCCCTGCTTCTGCTCTCACCTCACCTTACTGCCTGTTTTTCTTAATTTTCTTTTTTTTAATTGAGATATAATTGACATATAACATTATATTAGTTTCAGGTGTACAACATAATGATTCAATATATGTATATATTGTGAAATGATCACCACGTTTAGTTAACATTTGTCACCACCTTACCGTCTGTTTTTAACACAGCCAGAGTGATGGTGTTAAACATAAGTCAGATCACATCATTGTCAAGAACAGGGAAGGGTCTGAGAGGTTTACCCTACTTATAAGCTACGACGTTAGCCTGCCACCATTTTGTAGATGCTGGCAGAAGACAAGACACTCCTGGGTCAAGGACAGAGGACGTTTAGCATAGCAAGTGGCATCAGCATTGGCATATTTACATCAGGTCCCCTTGCCCCCAGTCCCATGGGGGCGATGCAGATGTCCACCTGCACCTGCAGTGGTTGCAGTATGGGAAAGGAACCCTGAGCTTAGGGAACCCAAGTCTTTTATAATAGGCAGGAGACATTATCTTTATTATGTTGGACATTAAACAGACTTGCCCTTTGCTTCATAGGGATAGCCTATCTCTATCTTCTGAAGCTTTGCTTAGCAAACATTTTTGGAAAGAGAAGTCAGAACATAGGAAGCCAATGCTTCTGCTCACAAGAAGTGCAGAAACGTGAGAGGCCCATAGAAAAATTGTCTCACAACAATATACACACCCCTCGTTTCTATATAATGTTGGCTCCTGGTTGATTTTTTCATGAGAACATCACTCCATAAGTGGTTCTTGATTAAACTGACTGATAGAAGTGGGGACCACATCCATTAATCTGGCTCATACAGCATTTAATTATGGCTACTCTCAACAGAATTCCAAGTGGCAGGATGGAGCCACTATGCAGTATTGACCTCAACCATGCCCCACAGAGTTCCAGAACTAACCAGCTGAACAAGTCCCATAAACCACCAAGTCTACCTTAGATGGCCGGGTGGCTTTCTCCTCACATTTCGGTGTTGACCTCTCCACTTGGCCAGAAGCGTTACTCCAGCTCCAGCAGGGTGTGTTAGTAATGGCGTAGACTACACTTTGGCCCGCAGGAGAAAGTCTAGGGCAGTTCTGTCATCCACCACAACCCTGGCCAGTGAGTTGAGGCTGACCTGAATGCCTTCCAGGGCCAAGGTGGTGTCTTGGATCACTTCAGCTAATTTCAGCAGACAAATTTCATACCAGCTTTTCTAAATGGATGGTTTCCTCATAGTGATTACTGCCCATAGGACGTGCATGAACAAGTTTTCTTTCTAGGAAGCTCGCCTGTATAACCAAGGGTAGCCTCATCTTTGAGACATCTCCATAGGCATATGAAAGCTACGTGATCTCTTGGTAGTGTTTCTTTAAAGACTTGAAGATCTCTTCTGACAACCCCTGAGGTGCAAGTCTCCAGGTTCACGGGAGGGAGCAAGTTACTGCAGCGCTGCCACACAAAAAGTGCAGTCCTGGGGGCTCACCTGCTGCCGTGGACAGCAAGTGTTGTTGACAGTTGTTGAGCTCCCCCCAAGTGGGACCTGCATCAGTCGGGGGGTGCAGGTTGGCATTGGAGACATTGCCAATGTCTGCCAAGTTTGCTTAATGTCGCCAGTGTGGCTTGGCTGGCTGGTAAACCTTTGAGTTCCCAATTCAATTCAAATATTGAGTCTAGTCTTTCTGTGTGGGGAGATACTTGCTGCATGCAGATGGCCCAGCCTGTCCCTGACGGGCCCAGCCAGTGGCATCCATCCATCCCTCCCACAAATGACTGAGCAATAGCTATGGCTGTCAAGGTGGGGGACAACCAGAGGTGCTGACAGGTGGTTTGCATGGGAAGTGCACGAGCCAGGCCATCCCCTGGAAAGGTTAAGCGGGGAGTGATCAAATTGAGTTCAGAACTATATGGCAGGTATTGGCAGACCCAGCAGTCAGTCAGATTTAAGGCACTTACACGGTTTGGGAGAGCCTTACCAGGACATTTTCCCTCCTGAGGAAGGCTCCAGGACAGTTCTGAAAAACCAGGATTGTTGATGTCCCTCTGAGCCCCATGCCTCCTGGGGTCTATAGTGTTGCCTTCCCAGGTGCTGAGGTTGTTGTCCTCCACTGCTGCAGAATCCTTCTGTCTTATCCCAGGGGCTGTAATGTCACCGGTTTTCCAACTTCTTACTTCTTTTGTTTGTTGTTTGTCTCTCTCACTTGAATGTAAACTTGTTCACTGCTGTGTCATTGGTGTCTATAACGGGGCTTTGCGGCAAGGAGGCCCTCAAACACTTGTTGAGTCATTACAATTATCTTATAATCCAGGTCAGGAGATGGTTGTACACCATCTGAAGTACAGGTCAAAGCAATATGCTATATTTCTGCTTTATATCCTGAAAGAATATCCCAAAAGGGGTCAGGGAAGGCAGAAGTGGTCAGTCAGCATGTGTGGGTGACATGGGGGAGTGTTTTCTGGAGGGAAGAGAAGTTGAGTCCTGGGTCCTGCAGGAAGGGTGAGTGAGGGCTGAGTGGGGAAGAAGGTGGACTCAGAGGCCTTGTTCTCTTTCTTAGGTCTTTACCCATCTGGAGACCTGTGGCCCACCCAGCCGGTGTGTGTGACAAGCAGCTTCAACTGCGCTCTGGAGAACAGCGTGCCTGGCGTTATGCAGGGGCCAGCCCCGGTTCATAACAGGTAAGGTCTCTTCTCTGAATGCTGCCTCGCTTAGCCTGAGGGCTTGCAGTGGGGATTTGGGTTCAGTCTGTTAGGTAGTCCGTCCAAAGACCAGGGCCAGGCTTCCTTCCGCAGCGTACCTTAGCTGGGTGTTTCCATCTGCCTTTTGGAGTTGCGTTGTGATGCCGTAGAACATAATAAACCAGGCATTGAGAGATGTGAAAGGAAATAAAAGTAATGTAGTTGGTAACCAGGTCATTACTTTCTTAAGTTGAAAAGATGATTTATTAATAGAGGCAAATTTGAAAAAAAGTCACTCATAATTCCTACCCTGTAATAGAGCAAAGATTTCTATTTTCCGTGGTATTAATCTTGAACACATTTAAAATTTTAAAAGACCAAATAATTTGAGTATTGAAAAATAGTTACACAATGACAGTTTCTTATATTTGCTATTGGATATTACTATGTCATTCACTTACAAAAGTGAGAAAATATTAACGTCTGTGTTTAATGACAAAATCCACTTGAAGGTTTTGTCTCGGCTCATTACAGCAGTATTTACTAGTGATCAAAGTATCTATCCTGAATCATAGTCTTTATAGTTGTGATTTACTGAGACGAAGGCTGGCTTTGCTCTGAGTGAAAGGTGGACATTTTAATAGCAGAACATGTTTAAGCCCCTCAGGTGTGTGCTGAGACACTTCAAGTGTCTGGTTGTTCTTCCACAGCGCTAATAAAGCCACGGTCTTGGATTCTGCCCCTGGTTAGACCTAACAAACCTGGTTATAGAGGAAGCATGCTCCTAGTGTGAGCCGTCTGTCCTGCAATGGGGTGTCATTGGTGGTGAGCATTTAGTTTGTAAGTCTGTGATTCTGTGACTTGAGTGAGCACATCTTTTATTTTCCAAAATCGAGGAATTAGCAGTGATAAGCATGCTGGGCAGTAAAATTGTTTTCCTCTTTCTTGACTTGATCTGTTGACATCCTGTTTCTGAAACTAGACCTCTTGTTTTTTTAGCAGTTTCATTGATTGGAGTGCAGCTTGCGAAGGCCGGTTTCCCAGTGTGTACTGTCCATTGGAGTTGAACGATTACAGTGCCTTTCCGGAAGGTAAAAGCTGTTTGATCAGTCCCAATGCCATTCTTTTATTCTCAGGAAGTCACAGCAGGAAGTGTGTGGACGGCAGGCACTAACTGCAGAAGAAAACGCCTTTTAACAGTGAGCACCTTGGAGGATGATCTTATGGGAGCCTGCTGAGTCCTCCATGTGGGTCCAGGTGTGCATGCCTGCCATATGCAATTTTAGATGACCTCAAAAAGCCCTCTAACCTGGGTGTCTGGGGGCTTCTACAAACAACCCTAATCTATTTAGTCCTTCAAATTAGGTAGAACTGGGTCATTTGGATTTATGTGGACCTAACATTATGGATTATCCTTTGGGAGGCTGGGGCTTTAGTTGTCAGTTATCCTTTTTAGGCAGGCAAATCCCATGGAAAATAGAGACATTTACCTGCTTGTTCCTCAGCACGTCCTGACTCTTCTGCTCCTGAGTGGTGCTGCAGAAGGAAGGAAAGGAACTTGGAGGGGAAACTGGAAAATTCTAGATGCTTGGGTTGAAGCATCTGTAATGATAAACGATAAGAGAGTTCCCTGATAAGCTGGAAAGTGTTCTTAGTATACATTACAGTCTGATCATGATTTCTCATACTAGAGCTACCGTTTTAGGGAAGGGATAAGCAGTATATTGGGTATTGTGTACTTATCTGGATTTTGCTGTATGCGTTACTCTATGCTAACCACAAGGGGATGCTGTGGTAACTTTCTTCCTATGCTTGTGAGGCTTGTGTTCATCTTACTGGTATCTTAAGTGCCTGGTTTCATACTGTTTTTATCAATCCATATAGTATATGTGCAAATGGCTCACGTTGGCTTGACAGATAATAAAAGAAAATTTTAAATACTGGTAAGAATCTTGACACTGTTCAAATCTATAGTAGTATTTACTACTATAGTAGTATAGTAATATTTTAGTATATGCTGTGTGCTAGAAAGATGCCTATCAGATTATCAAATACAGAAAATCAAGCCCAGAGGAAGACCTTCCTCACTGAGGGCTTCTAGGTGATGTGTCTGATAAATAGTTGTAACCTTAAGAATGACAGTGAAATGGCCCTCCTGGTCCATCAGAGTAATTATTTTATGTCTGTCTTTACCTTGTCAATATAGTAAGGCCTTGAAAGCTTTTTTGCCTGAGAGTGAGAATTCCGTTCTCTTCAGAAAAGCGTTTAGCTGTGTTGACGTCTCCCATTCTTTGTAGAAAACATGAATTACCACAATGGCTTCCCCTGTCCTGCAGGGGTACCGACAGACTTCATTGATCACAACCCTCAGTCTACCTGGAACACCCCACCCAACATGCCGACTGCCTGGGGACATGCCGGTCTCATCAGCTCTCCGGTCAGTGCTGCCCATCTTGTGCTGTGGCCTCGGGGCAGCTCTCAGTTCTTTCTGGTCCTTCTTTTGTGGTCTCACTTTACTGTTCGAGTTGGGTTCAAATCAGTCAAAGCCTGGCTTGTTTCCTTTAGATCACCGAGGCCCGAAGCCTGGTGATCCTGGTCACCAAAGCTGGTCACCCTCTGAAAGAACCTAGCACGTACTCAGATGGGTGGGGGCTTGCAGACTTTGACAGTCTAGCCACCCTGAATGAAAAAGTCACCCCAAACTACACCCCAGGAGTGACGGTTTGTAGATGAAATTGACTTGGGGCCAGGAAGCTCTCTGTGACACAGCTGTGTTTACGTGGCCCTGCTGACCTTCTCATCTGTGAGAAGAGCTGAAATGAAAGTCCCAGGAACGTCAGTCAGTGGTCGGGGACTGGGACCTGAGAGCTTCCTGCCTGTGAACACACTTCGTGCTTAAAAGCCGGACGCCTCCCCCCTTTCACATCCACTCCACACTTTTTTTTTTTTCTTTTTTTTTTTTACAGATAGCGAGCATTTGACCTATGGGTCTTTCCTTGGGTTGAAATAAGTTTATCTAATTTGATGTGAATTTCATAACCTTTGTTTGATGAAAATGGAGTTAAAGCAGCCCAGATGGTTGAGAATAGTTTAGTAATTTCCAACTTGGATTCATCCTGTTGTGGTATCCACTGGTATATATTCACCCTTAACATTCCCTTTCTAAGGCGTCTTTATTTTTTTAAACACTTCTTTTTTTGTTTTCTCCTCATTTGCATTTCAGCCCTACCTCACAAGCACTCGAAGCTTGTCTCCGATGTCTGGACTTTTTGGTTCCATCTGGGCACCACAAAGCGACGTGTATGAAAATTGCTGCCCCATCAACCCCACCACGGAACATTCGACACACATCGAGAACCAGGCGGTCATGTGCAAGGAATACTACCCAGGGTTTAACCCGTTTCGTGCCTATATGGACCTGGACATATGGACTAACACAGCAAACAGGAGTGCCAATTTCCAGCTGTCTAGAGACTCGAGTTACTGTGGGAACGTGTGAAAAGAATTTGATTTTTAAACAATGTGAATAAAGAGGCTTGTGTTTCGATTACTAGCGTAAACTGGTTGTTGAGATAGATGACGACATTGGTGGATATTTTGGCACTTTTATATGAAAATAAATTTTTTTTAATGAAATCTGGGTGCTCTATTTTTTTTAACCCATCGCAAGTCAGTGATAGAAACTAAGCATCCATGTGTCCTAACTTCGTAATTCAAGAAGTGTGTGAGACCTGCCAAATGTTTTAAATCAGATCAAGGGAGACTTCTAGGAAGGTAAGAGTTGAGAAAGGAATAGCTGCTGTGGTTCTCCCCTCCTTGGGCATCAGAATCCCCCCAAGGAACTTGCAAATAATGAAGTTGATCAGGTGATGTGGTCAGAGATTGTGATTTAATTAACCCTGGGCTCAGGCAATCAGGGTTTTATTTCAAGTTCTCTGTCAATTGTATTGTGCAGCCAGTGTTGAGAACTGCTGGCTGGGAAAGCCCAGCTGAGCCACTGGCCACTTGCTTGGACAACCCTGCACAGGGTGGAGGGCAGCTCCTGATGGTCGTGGCTGCTGGGGTGAAGCAGAGAGCCTAGCACTGCTCTGCTTGTTCAGTAAGGCAAGGATGTTCCCTCCCCTCCATCAGGCCAGTCACTGGGGGCAACGACAGCAGCAGGGACCTGGTGAGTTTCCCTCTGAGTGAGCAGGCTTACTCCACATACAAGTACTCAGGGGGCGAGGCAGCTGCTGCATGTTTGCCAGACCGGTTTGCATCTGCTTGTCAGTGATTTTAGAAATCCATATGATGGTGGAATTATCTATTTGCATGTGTAAACTTTGAGAACATTTTTAACTTTTAATAAAGATGTCTTATTTTTACATTTTGTTTTGTGTTTATTGGAAATTCAGTAGGAGAGATTTTTGAGTGGAATGCTGGGTTTGCTTGCTTTGAGTTTATTTCTCTCTACCATGGTTGTGCGGGGGCCTGGGACACGGAGGCAAGTGTACTGTAAATCCAAGACTGCCCTTCTGCAAGGAGCTGCTCCAAGTAGGCATGGCTACTGGAAACTCCTCAGGCTGGCCAAGGTAGAACCTTGATTTGGCTGAAGCAGACCCCCATCTCCCAGTATTGAATAAGGTGAAAAAATAACTTAGGTTCTAGGGGCTGGCCCAGTGGTGTAGTGGTTAAGTTCACACGCTCCACTTCGGCAGCCCGGGGTTCGTGGGTTCGGAACTTGGCGCGCACAGACACACCGCTTGTCAAGCCATGCTGTGGTGGCATCCCATATAAAGTGGAGGAGGATGGGCACGGTTGTTAGCCCAGGGCCAATCTTCCTCAGCAAAAAGAGGAGGATTGGCAATGGATGTTAGCTCAGGGCTAATCTATCTCACACACACACAAAATAATAATAACTTAGGTTCTAGGTATATACCCAAAAGAATTGAAAGCAGAGACTCAAATATTTGCACACTCATGTTTATAGCAGCACTATTCACAATAGCCAAAAGGTGGAAACAACATAAATGTCCACTGATGGATGAATGGATCAACAAAATGTGGTATATATATCCAATGAGATATTATTCAGCCTCAAAAAGGAAATTCTGGTACATGCCACAACATGGACATACCATGAAAATACGATGCTAAGTGAAATAGGCCAATCAGTCATAAAGGGATAAATACTGTATGATTTCACTTACATGAGTGTTAAAATCAAACACAACCAGACTTGAAAATTCACTGAGCAGATGAAACTAATTTAGTCATAGAAGCAAAGCTTAATTTAGCTTGTTTTGCAAGATGAGTGAGGCTACCTTGACCTGGGTCACTTCTTGCTTATGCATCTGAAAATCATAAACGAAACTTAAATTGTTCCCCAAAATTGATACAAGGTAAGCATTAACCAATTCTCTTTTATTTGAGAAAATTCTGCTATTGTAACCAATTACTGTGAAGAATAAACAACCACTGACTCCACACTATGTAAGCTGCTTTATAACAATATACCTCTGAGCCTTATTCCATGGTTTGGTTTGAGTGCTCCTGGTTTGCAAACTGTCTTTTTGGTGTGTGCACAATAAACTTTTACTAATTAATGCTTCAGTGGTTTGTTGGTTTTACTTCTGTTTTTTTTTCCCAGAACCTTTGACGTGAGGTCCCTACAGTAGTCAAATTCATAGAGACAGAACGTAGAAGGGTGGTTACCAGGGGCTGAGGGGAGGGGCAATGTGGAATTGTTTTATGTGTACTGAGTTTCAGTTTGAGAAGATGAAAACGTTCTAGAGAGAGATAGTGGTGATGGTTGCACAACAACGTGAATATACGGTATGCTACTGAATTGTGCACTTAAAAATGGTTAAAATGGCAAATTTTGTGTTATGTATATTTTACTCCAATAAAAACATAAGTGGATGAAAAAAGCCTCAAATTCAAAACTTGCCCACTAGACAAAGTATGAGACATTAGATGTATATTCTGCTCAGTACTATTATTGATCTCATTTATTTTTCTACTTTCATTGATCCCTCAATTCCCATCAGGAAAACATGAGAAACCAAAAGAAGTTTTCCACTTTATACAAAAGAAAGTAAAAATCTTCACTTTCAGAATATTATCTTTCTTTAAAAAAATTTTTTTTGGGAATATTATCTTTAGCCCTAGGAGTAAAATCAGTGGTAGGGAAACTGGAAGTTTTTATTTATTTCAAAACATTTACTGGGGGGGCTGGCCTGGTGGCATAGCGGTTAAGTTTGCATGCTCCACTTTGGCGGCCCAGGGTTCTCAGGTTCTAATCCCAGATGCAGAATGACACACCGTTCATCCAGCCATCCTGTGGTGGCGTCCCATATACAAAATAGAGGAAGATGGACACAGATATTAGCTCAGAGCCAATCTTCCTCAGCAAAAAGAGGAAGATTGGCAATAGATGTTAGCTCAAGGCCAATCTTCCTCACCAAAAAAAATAAATAAGTTTACTGACTGCCTCCCAGAAGCTAGGACCTGTCCCCGGGGCTGTGGGAACAGCAGAGAACAGGACAGACCAGGTCCTGCTGCCCTGGCACATTCCAGAAGAAGGGACAGGGAAGAAACAAGCAAAAGATTGAAAGAGTATTTCGGATGCTGATGTGTACTGTGAAGGCAATTAAGTGGTGATGTGATAAACTTCGGGGAGGTGGCAACAGGTACATCGGGGTGGTCAGGGAAAATCTCTGAGGAGGTATATCTGAGGTGAAACTTGAATGACAAGGAAGAGTCAGCTGTGCCAAGATCAGCAGGCAAAGCTTTCCAGCAGAGGAAAAAGCAAAGGCTCTCAGGCAGGAGGCCAGGGTGGCTGGGGCCCCGAGAGCAAGGGCCACAGCGGAAAGAGGTAAGCCCAGAGAAGTAGGCAGAGGCCACCTCCATAAGGCCTTGTAGGCCACCAAAAAGAGGACGGGTTTTACTTGAAGTGCAGTGGGAAGCCATCGGAGCATTTTAAGAGAGAAGGAACATTATCTTAAGTTTCAAAGAAATCACTGACAGCTGAGTGCACTGGTTGTGCAGGAGTAACAGTAACGCCCTTTGGAAGTCCATTCCAGCAGTGGAGATGACAGAGAGGATGGGTTTGTTATATGCGAAACCTGCTGGATGGTGGGGGGCGTAGGGAGGCGAACACCGCTGATCGGGCTTTGCGAGCTGGGTTGTGGTGGTGCCATTGACTGAGGGGAGGGGCACTGGGGAGGGTCTGGTTGGAGGTGGGGGTCCAGAGTTCTCTGTTGACACCTTCAGTGTGAGAAACCTCTTAGATCCAGGTGGAAACATCCCCTAGGCAGTTGCACCTACAAATCTGAAGCTCAGCCAAGTTGAGGGCTGGAGACATCAGTTGGAGATCTTCAGCCTGTTGACGGTATTTCAATCAATGGGAGTGAGGGAAGCATCTTGGGGAGGAGAAGAATCTTGAGGACTGAGCCTGCGGCCCCTGTGTTTAGAAGCGGAAGTTGAGAAGGAGCAGAAGAGGAGGCAGCGGCAGGGTAGACGGAGAAAGAATGAGGCCAGAGGAAGCCACAAAGGGGAATGAGTGGTCATGATCGTGTCAAATGCTGTGGGACCAGGTCAGACAAGGAAGGTGTGAACGCTGGGTTTGGTGAAGAACCGTCACTGGTGTCCTCGAGCCGTTCCAGCTGGAGTGAGCGGACAGGCTAGGAGATCAGGTGGCAGTGGAGGAAGTCAGCGTGCAGGGGAGCAGAGCTGGAGGGGGATGTGGAGCTAAGGGTGGGAGGTTGCCAGGCCTGCTTGTGCGCTGAGGGGAGGGAGAGAGCAGAGAGGGAGAAGGCGGTGGGTGGGAGAGACATTACCTGCCATGCCAAGTACCTGAGGACACTCTTTCTGCCAGCAGGGAGCCGAGGCCAGAGCCTGGATGGGGCAGGAACACTTCATCCTCCATCCTGGGAGGGATGGCAGAGACTTGAGCAGAAGTGCAAGTAGGTATATTTATGACAGAAGTAACAGAACTCCCAATTTTAGTTGGGTACACGCTGCACAGCTAGATTACATTTTTCCACCTCCTCTGCACCTGGTGTGACTGCATTGCATGTGAGCAGACGTGAGATGTCAACTCTGGGTTGTGCCCCTAATGGAAGGGTGTACAGTTACCTGGCAGTTAAAGAAGTGAGTTGTAATTATTAGAGAATACTTCAATTATTCTGTGGTTGAGAGACAAGCAAAGTACCACAGTGAAGGCAGGAGAAAACATTGCCACAATTCTTTACACACTGAGTGAACTTTTTGCATGCCATTCCCCACACAGAGAGCTGTTCACGACGACTATTATTACACTGGATTATGCTAACACGGGGCGAACTTGGGAATCACTTGAGTCATCAAGGAGTTAGAGGAGAAAACCCCCTCCCTGCCTTCCAGGAGCTTTGATTTTAATGGAAGACTCATTAGAGAGCATATTCTTTGGGGCCAGACTTCCTGGGGTCTAACTCCAGCATCACCACATTCTTAACTGCTCCATGCGTCAGTTGCCTCTTCTGTAAAATGGGGATAATAATGGCAACATACCTCATAGAGTTGTTGTGAGGATTGAGTGTTTAAATAGTAATAGTATTCGGTATAACTATTATCGTCAGTTTAAATGAAAGAACATGAAACAACAGAATACATAT